GGTGTAATATATAATAATAATAACAACAATTATATTCTTATTCTTATTTTTACTAATGTAAGTCAATGACATCATCAAGGGGAATTTGACTACAGCTGGGTGTCCAGCACAAAGAGAACCTCAGTTGTGCAGACCTGACAACAGCCACAAACGCCCAGATGGAGTCACCCTGCAGCCATGGAGGGAAGGTAAACAGGTCGTATGGGACTACACGTGGGCGTCTACATTGGCTGATACCTATCTACCTTACAGCACAGCGGAGGGAGGCGGGGCGGCCACCTTCAGGGAGACCCAGAAAACCAACAAGTACAGGGACCTAGAACGTTGTTACAGGTTCGTGCCGATAGGCTCTGAGACTCTGGGCGCCTGGGGTAAATGTGCACTTTAGTTCCTAAAGGAGGTGGGTGAGGAACTCATTAAGCAAACTAGAAACTCAAGAGCGGTCAATTTCCTTTTCCAGCGCTTCAGTATCGCGATCCAAAGAGGAAATGCTTGCTGTATCTACGCATCCAACTTCCGAAGAGCTGGATGAGGTCTTCGAACAGTGATTGTTATATATATGTGTGTGTGTGTGTGTTTGTCTGTAAACTGTAACATAATGTAATAAAATTAATAAAAAAAAAGAATAGGGGGTGGTAGGATAAGAAAATATTAAAGTGTTTAATAAGAATCCACAAGGTCTTCCCTGAATATTCCTTATGTTCTTCTCCGAGGCTATGGGTCCATACCCATAGGGTTACCATAGAGGTGGTACCCTATATAATAATAATTATTATAAATATAATTAAATAATAATTATATTTATAATAATTACTTCTTGACGTTCTTTAAGTAAGAAGCTTCTTAATAGTGTAAGCTCATTGGCTGCTTACTAAGCGGGGGTTTAGCATGTGGTATATCATGGCAATTAAATAGTCAAGCTTCACCCGAAGATCTCCATTTTCTTCTTGAATTCCACCTGCATTCTCCCAGGTCACTGCACGCTTGATCTTGGATTCATTATGTATCCGATGATACAGGGTCGAGTGGCTGAACAAAAAATACAAAAAAAAAACAGTCCGACTTTTTTTTTTTGGCTTCCATAATGGTGGTCACACGGTAACAACTGGTTAATGTTTTGTATTTGTCTTGAGGTTATTCTCTCAAGAATATTAACAGTGACTTGTGGCAATGGTACTGGAAGTTAATGAGTACTTGACGGATCATTTGTTGACTGGAACTACGTCTGTCTTCATCGTTAGGGAGGATGCCAGTGTGGTTGGGTGTGTGCGTGTAGGTGGTCGAATTGCGAGTGTGTGGGGGGCCGGGTTGAGTGTGTGGGGGGCCGGGTTGAGTGTGTGGAGGGGCCGGGTTGAGTGCGTGGGGCCGCGTTGAGTGTGTGGGGTCGTGCTGTAAGTGCGTGGGGTCGTGCTGTAAGTGCGTGGGGTCGTGCTGTAAGTGCGTGGGGTCGTGCTGAGTGTGTGGGGGTCGTGTTGACGGCAGTGGTGTGAGAAGCCATGTATGGCAAGGCAACAATGGGCGTCCTTGATCGAGGGGGCTATGCACTGCCACCGCCCTGGCCTCCACGCCCGTGGTGGGCGGGGGCGTGGAGGAGGAGGAGATGCCCGGACCAATAGGATCTTAACCCCCTAAACTAGAATAGAATTATGACGTCATAGTGACATCACACATCAAATATTGATGGTTTTGGCTTCCACCACTGCCTTGAGAGGACAGGTTGAGCTCCTTATTTCCTGAAGCTGTACTAATTTCTTGCCATTTTTTTTTTTTTTAGTTCCTTTTGACCTCTGACCTTTTTGCTTATTTATTGAAAGGTTTTGTGGCCCTGACTTTTGCCTTCCAATACTCGTCTGGGGGTTAGTTTCCTTCCTGAAATGGATCAGTTTATAATGGTGAATACACGCGCACGCGAGCGCGTAATGTACACCCTTTAGCGTAATTGTCCGTTGCATAGAACAACCAAAAGCAAGACAGCAGTCAGTCCGTGCTTATGAACGGTTACACCAGACTTACTCCCGCTTGCAATGACTGCTTTTTATAATACTTCATGTTAGGCTACTGGCGCCGCTCTCGCTCCTCTCTCTTAAAACTCTTGGGTAAATGTAAACTTTACTTAGCCCTTATCTAAGGAAACTGAGTACCCAGATGAGCCACAGAGACGTTAGAAGGAACTTTTTCAGTGTCAGAGTAGTTAACGGATGGAATACATTAGGCAGTGATGTGGTGGAGGCTGACTCCATACACAGTTTCAAATGTAGATATGATAGAGCCCAGTAGGCTCAGGAATCTGTACACCAGTTGATTGACGGTTGAGAGGCGGGACCAAAGAGCCAAAGCTCAACCCCCGCAAGCACAATTAGGTGAGTACCAGCTGACTAACTCCTGGGTTCCTATTTTCTGCTGCTAGATGAACAGAAGCATCAGGTGGAAATAAACTTGCCCAAACTTCTCTGTTCTGTCGCGGAAATTAAACCCGGGGCCTTCAGATTGTGGGCCCGTTGAACACTATGCTACCGAACCGCTTTGGTAGCCTAGCTGGCTGGCTGTTATTTTCGCTTCTATATGGGAACCTGACCTTGATAATCTACGCCAGTCCGTTCTCTTACGGTTTCCCAACGTCAAAAAAAAAAAAAACGGTTAATTTAAAGTGGTCTCTCCTAATCTGCCAGAGGACCCAAAACAGAAAACGGGACAGTACGTCACTTTCGCCAGCCGCTTCCATTATCTAGTACGACAATTGTTGACCTTATGTAATGCATACGAGCGAAATGCGACGTTGTTTGTAAGAAGACAGCTTGAATTTACATTGTCCGAAAAAAATGTTGTGCTTTTTGCGATCGGCAGCATTATGTAGTGCGAGGCTTCACAGCATTGTCTCACTGCTGGCTTGGTCATGGTAATAACAGTCTACAGAGTAATGAGTTGTCCGCAGGGAGAGAATGTAAACCTCTGGTTTGTTTTTAGTTTGCTGTTTACACGTGTTCCTAGAATCTTCCAGGGTTCTTCTATCTTTCTTAGAATCTTCTATCTTCTGGGAATAGGTCGTTCGTCACACTTCATTTCTCCTGGGTCCTGGAACCTCTCTAACTGCTGGAAACTTAGGTCGTTTGTTAAATTCCGCTGCCTCCTGGAACCTCAGTAGTTGCTGGAGGCAGAGAGAGAGGTCGTCCGCTGCCTCCTGACTCCTGGAACCTCAGTAGTTGCTGGAGGCAGAGACAGAGGTCGTCCGCTGCCTCCTGGGTTTATAAATATCTTTTAAAGCAAATTCACTGAAGAAATTTTTCCATGACCAGCTGTTCTCAGAAATGTTCCGGAAACCCCCAGAGGACCGGAAACACCAGACTTTCAGACCCCTTGTGGCACAACTTGAGGTAAATGAATACATTTTTGTAACCAGTTAACCCACAAGAGTTAATTTCTTAGTTTGAAGAACACTGAGGTCCATTTCCTGTGTTCTTCATGTAACTATAACATTATCATGGCCTCTCCCTTCCTCCCTGGATGAGTGTAGAGTCCTTAATAAGCTAATTGGATAGTTCCAATGTGGTATCTTCTTGAGGTTATCTTGAGATGATTTCGGGGCTTTTAGTGTCCCCGCGGCCCGGTCCTCGACCAGGCCTCCACCCCCAGGAAGCAGCCCGTGACAGCTGACTAACACCCAGGTACCTATTTTACTGCTAGGTAACAGGGGCATAGGGTGAAAGAAACTCTGCCCATTGTTTCTCGCCGGCGCCTGGGATCGAACCCAGGACCACAGGATCACAAGTCCAGCGTGCTGTCCGCTTGGCCGACCGGCTTCCCTATACCGGCTCATCCCGGTATATGTGCACTATCCGGTGTACTCCACCTAGACAGGAAGAAGCCTGTCCCCATCCGAAGCGAATTCTTTACTAGGGTTTATATTCTGTCATTCATAACGTGATCCGCAACAGTTGGCGAGATGATAAAGATTATGCCACCCAAAAGGTGGCACGGGCATGAATAGCCCCATAATTGGTGAGATAGTAGTAGTAGTAGTAGGCATCCATCAGTCTCAGGAGACAATGGAGTTGCGCTCTGGTGTCGGCCTGGTCTGGAGTGGCCTCATAGATGATAGATGGTTGTCTATTACTGGTATCAAATACGTGGTCTATATATGTTGACAGTTTAGTGACAGGCGGGATGTTGTTTGCGTAAACACTCACGCCAAAATGTGAGCAAACAGCCCCCTTCAAGGGTGCTGTTTGACGAGTGACAGCTATGTTAGCTGGCATTTTATGGTGCAGGAGACGGGTGACAAGAGACAGAAAAGTGCCTATGTACAGCAGGTGTTCAACTCCAGTTCCTGTCCTTGACGGGTCTCGTCCTTGACAGGTCCGGTTCTTGACGGGTCCTGTCTTCTCCTGCCCACTCCTAAGATGACCCTTTTCTTACTATTATCCCAGCTGCCCCTGACAGCTTCTTCTGACATTTCGAGAATTTGTCTTCAAACACCTTTAAGCTTTTCTGACTTTTCTCTCGCCCCTTCAAACTAAAATCTAAATGTTTCAATAGATTTAATCTTTAATATTATAAAAACCCATTACCCATTAATTCCAACATTTTAAATGTCGATTGTTGGACCACGAGAGAATTTATTTTTCATAAATTTAAGAATTTATAGAATTCCTTTCTCTTTAGTTAAGACTCTTATGCTTAAAATGAGGTAATTACACAGGTCCAAGGAACTATCTGGACCAGGTGACTGTAAGTCGACCTTGAAGAAAAACTGGAAACCAAGATGATATTGAACATCACATGGAGATAAAGAGATGCTAGATGGAGAACAGGTGGAGTGGGTGAAAGGAAACATGCCCAACCATTTCCGTCCCTTCCGGGAATCGAACCCGGTATCCCCCAATTGTGTGTCGAGAACGTAGCCGCTATACTACAGTAAAATCTTGATAATAACACAACACGTAATTATAATTACATATCGTAAGATCTAGATTCTATAAGAGTGATATATTTTCCTCCTACAGCTGCGGAATCAGAATGGTGAGGGCGCAGATGGTGGCGGCGGCGTTGGTGGTGTTGGCGTGCGGTAACAGTTGGGCTAGCGGCCAGGACGTGCCTCGGAACACGACGACGGAGCAGACGTTGAAGGAGCAGAGGTCGTACTCCCGCGCAGAGGGTCCGCGAACTGCCACTTTCATCCCGGCCTTCGTCCTCGCCAACGTCTCCAGGAAGCAGCGGCAGCAGACGCCCGTACGTTCCTCGGCTCACTTGTTGATGATGAGGAGAGGTGTAAGCTAAAATATGTGGACACTTTCACAGCTGGTGGGTGTGTGGCTGGCTGACAGGTATGCATGCCTGTACAACTGGCTTGCTGACAGATGTGGGGGGGGGGGTGTCCCCGTACAGCTAATTGACTAGTGTGTGATTGTGTTACAGGAGGAAAACGATATCGGCAAGAGTCCATGTCCCAGAGGCTCGCGCGGCGAGGCTTGCAGAGGAGAGCTGGCCCGGAATGCCCTCACCTGTACCTCAGGTATGTCTCTATCTCTCACCTACACCTCAAAAATTACTCCCTTTTTTCCCTCTCTTCCTCCTGCTCCCTCTCCTGGCATGCCAGTTTGTACACAATTGAACAATATATGAAATGTGGATTTGTTCACAGTATATATACATATATACTTTGAGCAAAACAACAGTGCCGAACACAGAGCTCGCGTCCTTCAGCGGAGGTCAGTGTCGCTACACCTAGCGAGGTACACTGTTGTCATTGGTACCGCTACACCTAGCGAGGTACACTGTTGTTCTTGGTACCGCTTCACCTAGCAAAGCAGGGTGGGGGGGGACACTGACTTCTATGTACAAGAAACACTAAATATTGCAACCTTTTAAGTCCATTGCACAAGATGTCTGACCCAGACATTTACAGAACTCTCTGGACCACCGTTACACTGACCGTGTGTGTGTGTGTGTGTTTGTATGTTTGTGTGTGTGTGTGTGTGTGTGTGTGTGTGTGTGTGTGTGTGTGTGTGTGTGTGTGTGTGTGTGTGTGTGTGGGTGTGTGTGTGTGTGTGTTTGTATGTTGTGTGTGTGTGTGTGTGTGTGTGTGTGTGTGTGTGTGTGTGTGTGTGTGTGTGTGTGTGTGTGTGTGTGTGTGTGTGTGTGTGTGTGTGAACCATGTTCTCTTGTCGGGGACCGCAAGCCTGTTAGGGTTATCGAGCTCCATGTAGGCAAATAGCACCCCTTCCAAGATACAACCCCCCCCCCCCTAACTATCTGTTTACTTCTAGGTGAACAGATGTATCAGCTATAAGGAAATGTACACAAACGTCGTGACTTGTCCAAACATCGAACCCAGGCCCATTCGGTTGTGAGCCGACTACCCATGACTACCAATATGAACACAGGGTTTCTGTTTAATTGTCGGTAAAAACAGCGTTTTCGTCTGACGATTTCCGACTCCTGTCAGTTGGCTTCCAGGTTACCCCTCCCATAGGGGTAACCTATGGGAGGGGTACACTGCTAGTTTTTTCCTGGAACACGACCCGGCAGTTTGTTTACAGCCAGGTTCTCAGTTATTGCTGGGTGAACAGGGGTGAACAGTTAAGGATTGGAGCCCAAGTCAGTCCTTCCTGACCAGGACTCGAACCCGGTCACTGAATCCAGGACGTTAATCGGCCATGTGGCAATATCTCATTATTCCAATTCATTTGTTGTATAGTTAGCGCCGTGTGGCATCTCCAAATCGCTGTCAACGTAAACAAAATTGGTCTTTGTGCACCTGCCTCGACCCAGATAACCGTAACCAAAGGCAACAGTCAAGTTATATAGTAAATACGTAAAAGTAAACTTAAAAACTCAGCGTTTGACCAGTGTGGGTGAAAAAAATTGGTTGTGATTTACACAAGTGCTGTGTGTTGACCAATCCACACACTAGAAGGTGAAGGGACGACGACGTTTCGGTCCGTCTTGGACCATTCTCAAGTCGACGACTTCTCAATCGACTCGAGAATGGTCCATGACGGACCGAAACGTCGTCGTCCCTTCATTTTCTAGTGTGTGGATTGATCAACATACTTCAGCCACGTTATTGTGACTCCTCGCCGGCAAGTGCTGTGTGAAATTTTAGTATTAAGAAACAGTTGAGCAGCATGTTGCGAGGTTATGCCTCCCAGACGGTGAGTCAAGACATTCATAGCCAGACCTGAACTTTCAACTGCTGGGAGTGGTATGTGATTTGATGGAGACTAACATGGCCAAAAAGTACCCGTCAGCGCAGGAGCGGCGCGCGCTGTGAACTGCCAGGTTTGTTGTTTGAGATTCAGCTACTGGGAACCAAAAGTTCCAAGTAGCACGGGCTATGGTGAGCCCGTAGTGGACTTACTTGGCACAGGTGCGGGGCTGTGACTAACTGCCAGGCCGTTGTGGCACAAGATGTACTTAAACAACTCTGTGTTGCCATCATGTTTGCTTCACTGAATTGATCGTTATGTTAAGTAGAATATTTATGAAATTTGCCTTGAATTTGTACTGTATGAGATTCATTCTCATTCTCTCTCTCTCTCTCTCTCTCTCTCTCTCTCTCTCTCTCTCTCTCTCTCTCTCTCTCTCTCTCTCTCTCTTTCTCTCTCTCTCTCTCTTTCTCTCTATCTCTCTCTCTCTCTCTCTCTCTCTCTCTCTCTCTCTCTCTCTCTCTCTCTCTCTCTCTCTCTCTCTCTCTCTCTCTCTCTCTCTCTCTCTCTCTCTCTCTCTCTCTCTTCTCTCTCTCTCTCTCTCTCTCTCTCTCTCTCTCTCTCTCTCTCTCTCTCTCTCTCTCTCTCTCTCTCTCTCTCTCTCTCTCTCTCTCTCTCTCTCTCTCTCTCTCTCTCTCTCTCTCTCTCTCTCTCTCTCTCTCTCTCTCTCTCTCTCTCTCTCTCTCTCTCTCTCTCTCGCTCGTGTATTGTCTCCTCATTTTCACTCACTGTTTCATCCCCCATCCCTCACTTTCTATCTCATCCCCCTTCCCTATTTCTCCCCCACTCTATCCCTGCCTCTCCCACCTCTATCCCTTCCTCATCCCCTTCCCTTCATCTGTTCGACTAACGGTACCCCACGTGCGTCCAATGGCTGGCCCAGTACACATAACCTTTGTAATATCATTATTCATTAGCCGCTCACCTTGGCACTGTGGGCTCCGTGCTGACCACATGACATTTTCACCACTCTTGAAAAACACTCACACTTCAGCGGTAATGAATCGGCCAACTTGTGTTTCCCAGAACACGTATAGTGGGAGTGTCTAGGCGAGGCGGTGCTCGTCGTGACTGAGCATTGTAGGAGGCGGGGGGTCTTGACTGGGCATTGTAGGAGGCGGGGGTCTTGACTGGACATTGTAGGAGGCGGGGGTCTTGACTGGACATTGTAAGAGGCGGGGGTCTTGACTGGACATTGTAGGAGGCGGGGGGTCTTGACTGGACATTGTAAGAAGCGGGGGGTCTTGACTGGACATTTACCCGAGGGCCACGAAGGCTCTACTGACCTCAACGAGGACAGAAAGCCAGCGGCTTGTTAAAGGTTTCCCCCCCATTTGTCCTGGTAATTTTTTTTAAATCCGGATTTTAAAGTTCAACAGAGTTTTGGCATTTACGACTTCAGCGGGTAGGCGGTTCCAATGGTTTATAACCCTCTGGGTGAAAAAGCGTCTCCGGTTTTCAGTCCAACATTGAACTTGAAACTGTCACTCTTTGTCTGTTACATCTGATCTTTGGAAGAAGTTGTCTAGATCAGTATCCTCTAAATTGTTCAGCATTATAAAACTTTCGATGAGATCAGCCTTGTCATGTCTGATTTGCAGGGTTAGCCCTGAGGGCGCTTAACTGTAATAAGAGTTGACTTAGTTCTGGAATATTTTTTGTCGCCCGGTGTTGAACTTTCTCCAGAGAAGATGTCTTTCTGAAGATAAAGTCTCCATGCTTGTATACAATAACCAAGTTGGGGGCGTACCAGAGATTTATACAGTTACATAACTACCATCTTTTCCTTAAAGTTAAAAAAAAAAAGTACGCTTGATTATTCCCAGGGTTTTGGTTAGCTTTTTTTTTTTTAATGATTGTTGATTCCTCCCACTTGTTGTGCAACATTCAGTGAATAATAGATTCTGATTCCAAGGTTCTTTTCTTCATTAATCTGTTGCAAGGTAATGTTGTTAATTTGGTAGTTGTGGCGTGGGTTGTTATGCCCCAACATGCAAGGTCTTGCTTTTATTGACATTAAAAAACATTTTGCCAGTCTTCTGACCAATTTGTGGGTTCTAGATATCTTTGTAAGGCCTCAATATCATCTTCACTTCTTACTTTACCATAAATCTTAAGTGTCATTTGCAAATTTGATGATGGGATTTGTAATATTCTCATGTCATTGATGTACTGTGTATGACAAGAAAGGAATGGCCCCAAAATGAACCCTTGCGGTACCCCACTCATCATATTTCATTCATTATAGTATTCTACCATTTATTCCATGTGCCTGTAATTTCCTTGCTATTGTCACTGTAGAAGCCGGAATGGTGGGGAGGGAGGGGGATCAGCAAAAAATGTTATTTTCATTTAATTACCTTGCACTGTTGGTCTAATATATACTTTATATATTTTTTTATTTAATAATTTTCTCTGTAGTATCAGGTTATTTTAAATAATTTCTCTCGTCATTTAATAATATGTGAGTGTAAGTAGGTTATCGAGAGTAGACGTGCTTCGAGCTATTTGGTAAATGTCTGGATTATTATTAGTGTTATTTCCATTATTAGATATCATCTATAAGGATATTTTATGATTTTTTTTCATTTATAACTAGCTCGAGATTCATGTTCAATTCTTCGAGAAAGCCTCATCGTAGTGGCTTAATACTTAAAACAGGAGTATATTAATACAGGAATATATTAATACAGGAGTATTACAGTTGGGGTCACAACCAAAAGGGTCGAGTTGGATTCCCGAGGCAGAACAGACATTTGGGCATGTTTCCTTTCTCCTGATGCCTCTGTTCTCCTAGCACCATATAGGTACCCAGAAGTTAGGCAACTGTTGTGGGTTGCATCCTGAGAAAGGTTACTAGTTACTCTAGGAAAATTCAATAAGCCTGATAGGCTTCCTGCCCCCCCCCCCCCCCACAACAATGCATCAACCATATTCATGATAGATATTAATGGCTTTACTATGCCATAACATTACATACATACCCGTTTGTGATAGTATTAAAAATACTCGTATTATTATCTGTATGGAGACATGGCTGGTATATGGTTGGGGGATGCCTGTTGATCAGTTACAATCAAAACATATCTAATCAAATGGCGAATGGAAAACATATCTAGTTTTTGTTACAGAAGTTCAGAATATAATTATTTTATAGAATCAACAATTTCATTCTCGTGCCACAGGTTCGTGTAAGCAGTGTAGCCAAGAGTGCTCATCGGTGGAGGCGTCACTGTTGCCCACCTGTTGCAGAGATCACTTTCTCTGTTGCCGGCAGCTGGCGTCTGCCTGCCAACGGTGCGACACCTCACAACTCATCCCTTTCTGTACCGTTGCCTTCAAAAGGTGCAGCTAAGATTCCGTGCATTCCTGGAGAAGCATAATATGCTTCTGTGGTCAAATTATATTTAAAATACTATCTGCCATATATTGTCCTACAGCATATATATATATACAAACTTTTCTATTAAAGTGCATTTTCAGAATTATAATTCCCTTAGTGCCTTCTCGTGACATGGGTTCTCGATCATGTGTTCTTGTTGGTAAACAATGAGTAGCATGAACAAATCCACAAGGGCCGTGACGAGGATTCGAACCTGCGTCCGGGAGCATCCCAGACACTGCCTCAATCGACTGAGCTACGACAGGATTAAAAAGGGTTCAAACCGATGTTCTACTGAACTTACTTTGTTCATTTGATGCATCACTTTAGTGTGATCTGTGTGTGTAGTGAGTAGCATGGTCATCGTAACCAGAAACCAAGTCGGTATCAGATTGAAGATTGTATTCAACGAAAAGTGTGTTGTAAGCCTGCAGGGGGATATTTTATCAATATTATTCTAACTAGTGTTGAGAAAATGTTTTGTATGCTGTAATATATATATTGATAAATACAGCAATCTACTTTTAGGACTTTTGTTCTTGTAAAAATTGTTTGCCAAATTATTTAAATATCATTAGGAGGAGCAGGAACTTGGGGCTATACATCTCACATTAATGGAATATTAAACCGAGATAAGATCTATTAGCAGGTCTACTTTACCATTAAATTTGCTTGGTCCCTTAATTAGTTAATGAAGTTACTATTATTTAAATTATTGATTCATTGAATTTTCATATGGATATTACAATAAATACTTAATGTAAATTGCAGATAAGTTACATTTTTGAGGTAATGGCCACACTGTCAATCTCGATCTGATATCACCTAAAACTGTCGTTTATAGTCTGGTAGAAGTTAATTTTCCTTACCCGAGGTAAGGTAATAATCAGGGAAAGTGCCAAGCCATTATGACTATATAACACTTGGAAGGGATCAGGATAAGGATTTGGGATGGGACGGGGGAAAGGAATGGTGCCCAACCACTTGGACGGTCGGGGGATTGAACACAGACCCGCATGAAGCAAGACCGTCGCTCCACCGTCCAGCCCAAGTGGTTGGGCAAAGTGGAAAATTATGTAGTCTTACATTTAACAAAATAATGTGCTTGATTTTTTAAAACCTTGGCACTTTTGTGGCATATTGTCTCATTAGTGTACATGAGAACAAATCCACAAGGGCCGTGACGAGGGTTCGAACATACGTCCGAGAGGCTGCCTTAATTGACAGTCCTTGTGGATTTGTTCATTTGATGTATCACTATTGTGATTTCTGTGTAGTGTACATCACTGTTATTCGGCTTGTAACTTTCCCTTCAACTGAATTCTAACTAGGCTTTGTTCTGTTCTGTTCCTACGCAGTTATGAGAGTATGTATTAAAACTGTTGAACTTTGCTTGTCTTTAATTTTTTTTATGAATTTGGATTCCTTTGATAATAGTTTAACACTGGCTTGTACAGTATTAGTGCCAGTAGAAATTACACGGGAGAAATTAGAAGCACGGCACCAATACAAAAGTATTGGAAAGGTATAGACTTGTCAGGAGAAAGTTGCTTTTCTCATTAGAAGCTGATGGTGTGGTTTAAAGTAATAAAATTGAGGTATAGGAATGTATTTGGGAAGAAAATGTTTAAAAAAAGCCATACTGGCAGGGGGACAAACTTAATATGGCAACATGAAAAACTACAATATTGGGTATTAAAAAAAATAATAATGCAATTTTTGGTTATTTTAAGAATGAGGTGATAGCAGAAAGGGACAAGCATAAAAATGATGCCCTCAAGATACTAATATAACACTCATAGCAGGAATAATAATTTAAGTGCAGTTGTGTACACAAAAACAATAAAGATATTGCAAAATAAACCATGAATGAGCAGCTAATGGATTTATCAGACAAATATCGAATAACCAGATATCAATAATTTCACAATAAGACAAATTAGATGAGAATTAGCAGTCAGAAAACTTCAATCATAGTGCCTCTCAGGGAATCAAAACCAAGCCATACTAAGCAGTAATTTGGATAAAATTAACCAAAAATATTCGTAAGTAATAGGTTATATATACAGTATATGTATACATAAGTCAGCTATTTATATAATACAACCGCAATTCTATTAATTATATTGGACCAAACCATATTCATTGCAGTGAGATTCATAGCAACTGGAGATGCCTCCAGGATGCATTCCCCCATGCCCTATGGGCCAATTTAATTTAGCAATTTTAATTTCAACCCACAGTATAATAGACGACTACCAAATAAACACATCAGCAAAAATATTTAACCACATCAATTTCCATTTCTCATGTCCCCCAGCCTCAAAACTCATTTTCAAAATATAGCAGGGCCATACTAGAGTGAATGAAAACCTTGCCAACTCAATAAACGCATACCATAGAACAAATCCACGGGGGCACGACGAGGATTCCAACCAACGTCCGAGAGCATCCCAGACGCTGCCTTAAATTAATCAACTGAGCTACGACATTGTCAAAAAAAAAAAAAAAAAAGTTGAAACCAGAAGTTCAACTGAATTTACTTGGATCCTGCAGCCTCTCCCAGACACAAACCAGGGTTTTACACAATTTTCCCCATACACTCATGCTATGTCAAGTAAGTTCAGTATAACTTCTGGTTTCAACTCTTTTGACCATGTCGTAGTTCAGTCGATTACGGCAGGATCTGGGATGCTCTCGGATGTAGGTTCGAATCCTCGTCACGGCATTTGTAGATTTGTTCATTTGAGGCATCACGCTATTGTGATTTCTGTGTGCATGCCATAGAATTTGATTTTAGTCCTAATAGCTTTCCCCAAGGCTTCCAATGTTTCTTGTAATGTTGAGTCCACCCACACAAACCATAAAAAAAATGTAGTTGAAATGGAGAAAAAAAAAAAAAAGGCAGCGGCAGTTCTTAAAAGGGTACTTTTGTAAATTATCTGCAAGAGTTGCCATATCAGCCAGGTTGCAATTTTGCCCAGTCCCTTCCCATGACAAGAAATCCTTTAGACCACAGAAACCTACTATACCAGCCTAATGATCTACTTTCCTTTACAAATCTAAAATTTGCTCAACAAACCACAAGCCTAACCTTAAAAAGGAATTTAAAACACTTATGTATGTTTACTAAAACATTTAATTTTTTGTACTCCTTACAAGACAGGTAGCTTTCTTTCACCTACCATAATATACATGTATTTACATCTTATGATAACCCAAGAAGATGCATTCCCCTTCCCGCCCCCACCCCCCCAAACAAAGGGCACTAAGATCAATTGCTACCATACTGCATCAAGTCTACACATCATTCACTGAGCACAAGATGTTTTAAAACTTATCACAAAAAAACAAAAACAAAAAAATCCCACACTTCACCCTTCTACAGAACATCACAGGTTCGCTATGCTATATAGTCTGTAGTCAGTTACAGCGGGTTAACTGGTTATAGACCTATGCCTAGTATTAAACCTACATTGGGGTATGGTGCAGTATGATACCACTGCAGCAGCAGCTTAAAATAGGAATTAGGAATCAAATTATCTTGCAATTAAGACAAAGTGGATTGTCAACACAAGACATGATAATAAATATTGTTTAATACCAAATAAATAACAAAAAATCAGGCTTACAAGCTTCGTCAACATCTTTTCTGTGCCCAATCCTACTCTCGTCGGTAGAGATATCCAGCTCAACCACTCACATAACTTATGTGGGTCAAGTCAAGTACTGCTCTTGCCTTTTCAAGCAAACAACAACTCTTATTAAAATTTTGCATAAAACTCATTTTCCCAACATTTTAAGAATGGGAAGAAAATTGTATCTTTTAAATTTAAGTGTGAATGACACTGAATGCATCAAAATGGAAAAAGATAATTGTACAAAATACAAGGTAGTGTTGATAATTTTTTACTAGTGTTATCAGTCATAATGAGTGCACGACGCATTTACACATGCTCATCTCAAGTAAGGCAGTCGGAATTTTCACATGCTACATTGCTTTAATAAAACTTAATTCATTTAAATGAAATAATTTTATAAAATGATGTTAAATGCATGCAAATAACAAAAGCTCAACCTATATATACACTGTGCTTTAAGCTCCTCGAGCTGCTTTGTCACCAACTAAACCTTTCAGTCCTTCCGTGCTCATAGACTTGGGCCGCTCAATGGGCAGGCCAAGAGCACGATCCCACACCAGTGAAGACAATACTCCCAAGGCTCGCGACACTCCGAAAAGCACAGTGTAGTAATTCATTTCCGTCATCCCATAATACTGGAGTAGTACGCCAGAATGAGCATCTACATTTGGCCAGGGGTTCTGCACCTTGCCAAGTTCAGTAAGAATTGGAGGCACAACATTGTACAACTTGGAGACGAGCTGGAAAGAGAAAATACGATTACCTCACCCCTCAGAAACTTGCACAAAAATTACTAAGCAAGTCCAAACTGTCAACTAAACATTTAAATTCTTTAGGAATACAAACAAATACAGGAAAATTTAAACTGGGTGAACATTTTAGAAACGAAGCCCAACATTCCCTTACAATGTCCAAGCAAAGCAGGTATCCAGCAGGTAAGCCTAATACCTGTTCACAAAACTAAGGCAAAAGCAGTCTGCTAACTTACTGGACCAAATATTCAATCCTCCATGCAGGGAAACATTTGGGCAAGTTTCCTTATTCCCAAAAAGTCTGTTCAACAAGCAATAAATAGCACCGGGGACAGGATGCATTGAGCACCAGTGTGTCCACACACAAAACCTGTACATCTGTCCCTTATCATGACGACTTAGTCTATTAAAAACATTTTCTGATAGCTCCTTATCGGTACTCAAGACGCTAAACTTTCAGATGACACTAAAATGCGCCATCTGACTGCTGTTCATGAACATTTAAGTATTCATTATTATATAATAGTATAAATACAATTTCCTTTTTGCACGTTTTCTAGAAAATTCATTTATTAACATTTTGACACCAAATTTATAGTTACAATATACAGTAACCCAAAACATGAAATGATTAAACAGTCAACCATTTTAAGCATTGCTAAGCAAAACCCACTGAGCACACTAGGTTTATGTTCGGCATAGTTCAGAGAGGACCAAAATCTATCACATATACACTTTTGGTTTTGCATATATTCTCTAGACCAGCATTTAACCAGTGTGTGTGTTGGGAAGAGTCCACAGGTGTGCCTTAGGGATTTGAGGGATAAAGCACATTTTCTGGACAAGTCAACTGACATCTTGGGAAAATATTCTCCCTTGTACCGACAAAAAAATAACTGATGGGAGTGCCTTGACTACTTCAATGCCCTATCGAGTGTGCCACGAGTTAATGTTGAAAATCGTGCTCTAGAGAATTCCTTTGTAAACCTTTTGGCACCAAATTATTTATTATAACCCAACCAATAAGTTAAAAAAATATTAAATAAATGTCTGACCAGACCATCAACCAGGAGGACTGATCTTTTCTGACACTGATCATCAGAACCAATGAAGGTAATCAAAAGGGAACACTTCAGTGCTTGACGAATCACTGTTTGAAGATGGTAAACTTGTGGGCTGCATCCTGGGAACAGTCAGTCATTGGCCTAGGAGTTCCTCAATTAGCCAAACAGGCCTCCCAATCACAACAATTTAGGAACCATGGCTCTTCCAGGTTTAACATGCAATACAATTTGACATTTAATAAAAATGCTGGCAGTAATTACAATTCCACAATATTACTACAAATCCTTATCCACGAAGGAATCTCAAACCCTATGTATTTCAGGCAAGATGTTGTGAAGTGAAAATACTTATTACATCACTAAGATGCTCCTTATAGTTCACTTTCCAACCCATAATTTCAAGTGAATACAAATACACTCACCTTGAACAACTTGTCATCGGGAAGATGTTTGAGGGCAAACTCGCGTTGGCACGAATAACGAGGGTCAGTCTTGCGCAAAACTGCATGGCCATAGCCTGGAACAACTTGTCCAGATTTTAGTGTTTTCCAAATGAAGTCTTTCAACTGCTCTTCAGTAATATCATCCCCAGTTTCAGTACGAAGTTTTGTTAGCCACATAAGTACCTGAAAGATCATTTCAATAACAAAAGCACAAACATTTAATCTCCTTCCCTTTGTAAGTATACATCGGCTATCCACACCACAATATAGAAACAAATTAAGTCTGAAATAATGAAGTTCAAACTAACATTTGTTCATGTTACTTTCACACATTTTATAAACTTATCACCAATAGATGTAAATTTAGATTTAGAAATGCAAATAAATATCAAAACAGTACCTCTTGGTTGGCTAAACCATGAAGAGGTCCAGCAAGCCCATTCATGCCAGCAGCAAATGCGAGGTACGGGTCGGACAGAGCCGACCCCACAAGGTGAGTAGCATGGGCAGACACATTGCCTCCCTCATGGTCACTGATGAAATAAATTACTAATTAGGTAGGCTTAAAGTATTTGTTGTGCTAAGAAAACTATGACAGGGTTGGTATGTTTAATGTATTTGTTGTGCTAAGAAAACTATAATGACAGGGATGGAGGAGATGGAGGTTCAAAACATGACCAGAGGCGGAGTGTAGAGAAAACATGTGAATGCACACTTAACACAGGGTTTGAGAGGAAGCCGTTAAAAAAAAAAAAAAAGGGATATATTATTTTTTACAATTGACGTCGATTGTTTTACATGTACTAAATACTGTTATTTGACATCAACATCACTGAAAACACTAATAATGCAGATGCCTATCCACTCCCATAAATGAAGGAAAAAGGGTTATGAAAGTTGACTAGAACTTTATTCTTGGGTAATTAGCATCCTCCTCCACAGCCTAATCATAACAAAACTTGCAAATGGCTTTTTAAATGTAAGGGTTATCAAGTGGCAGCTTTCATGCTACCAGACAAACTGTGGAGTAAAATTTATTAAAAGAGTACATGATGAAGTACAAGAAAATTTCAAATTTAAACCAACAGTACTTTATCTCAAACTATTTAATTCTGTAGTGAAAATTAAATTGACCACTAGCTCAACCATAATGGTACTAATGCATGCCAACACCATGTTGTCTTAAATTTGATTATTATAATCTTGACCACTAAGTGGATCCTAAGGAATGAGTAAATGAGAATTGGGATGAATGGCTGATGTGCTATGCCAGCATGTATTCTAGATCATAACTATTTTCATACCAACTGTCTCGGAGTTTACTGTGTGGGTGATCCCGATTTGATGTCATTAACACTTCATTGCTCCAGTAGAGTCGAATCCAGCGACTGAAATTTTATCTTAAATTCTCCAATGTTTTAAAACATGTTTTCTTTACACACTCAAAATGCATCCTGAAACACTTGCAGTGTAGGGGTTAACATACTTTTCTCAGTATGAATATTTCTACTACACTTGTGCAGACCAAATTCTTATTAACAAAAGAATAAGGTTAAAGTTAGATATCTTTCTATAAGAAGCAAGGTGAATCAAAGTGCTCAACTTCTTACAAGATGCTAGCATACCAACTTGATACCTGCTTGATGGGGTTCCAAGAGTTCTACTCCCCAAGCCCGACCCGAGGCCAGGTTTGACAATGGCCTCGGTATGGATGCACAATGATGCCCGAATATAATCCAAAGTTTGTAAATAAAAATGTATCAAGCAGGACCAGCCCATCAACTGCCATGAGAATAGCATGCCTATGGACTAGGATGCATTATCCATGTAAAACCACCCAAGTGCTCAACCCATGTACTGTACCATCTAAATTTACTCGTGCAATTCAAAACTTTACATAAATGTTCTTATACATGTATAGCTGAGCCTGTGTTTGCCAAAACAATATAATTAAGAAGAGTATTGTGCATATATACACTATACTGTACTGTACTCTGGTAAATACAGAAGACAAAGAAAAACATATTAGCCAGTTATAAAATTGTAAAATACCCATTGTAAATACCTGTGAATTGTGAGGTAGAGACGCATAAGCTCTGTGAACTGAGGATCATCATAACCCAGCATTGCCGTAAAGTTGGCTGACCAGTCTTTGGAAGGATCAATGGCTCCAATGCTCGTTCCCTCTCGATACAAATTACGGTATATCGTGGCAGCTACCGTAGGCAGTTTGGAAATCAAATCAAGGGAGTCTTCAAAGCAGAGCTGTAGATATTAAAAACTTTCACAACTTTACTTAATCATGACTGCCACTAACTTCTAAAGAATCTAACACCTCTGCTCTCATTATTTGCACAAACTATACTTCCAGATGACCTTCCAAGGCAATGTAGAATAAAATGTAATTGAGTTAGGACATCACCTCAATCACACTAAACTACTATGGATACAGGACAGGAAACCTCCACGTACTAAATAATACAAGATGTCTTCCGATTCCCTCTTAACCAGGGACTGTTGTCCTGCTCCTCCTGTTGGAGACTGCCCAGCTAGAGCACTTCCCTCCCTTCTCACAACTTCCCAGGGAAAATTACCCCTAAAGAGCGCTTATGCAGCTTTGTTACCCTGAAGATATCACAACTATCCTTTGCATACATATTAGCATTACTATATAAAAGTTAATACTTTGAATATTATAAATTTTTGTATATAATATGAGGCACTTTCTCAAGCTCGCTTACCTCCCAGTATTTTGTTTTCGGTACACCTTCACTATATCCCTTTGCAAATTTGCTCTCAGAATTTAAAGCTGTAATAGCTGCAGAGAACTGGGCCATCGGGTGGAGGTTAGAAGGGAAGTTATTGAGCATGTTCACAACATGAGGGGGTAGGTCAGCCCGATTGGCCCATTCTTTAGACAGAGCAGCAACCTGCAGAGTACAACAGTTAATATTAATTGCATTTTAATTTGTATCAAATATTTTCATTAGGCCTATCCAATTGCTTCAAATCCTACCAGAATCTAAATTCATGACAAATCTATTTTTTTTTTTGTAGGAATATTCCTGTGTGGGTTCTAAGTCTCTGGGTGGCATGTCAACCATTATTTTGAAGCAGTATCAAATACAACCAGATGATAATCGTTTTTTTTTAGGCTTATATATATAGAGGTCCCTTCTCCCCCAGGTCAAATTACTGAAGCCCGCCCAGAATGCAACCTCATATCAGGGTTGCATCCTGGGACCTTGTTACTTGTTCTACTAACAAAATCCATTAAGTCAGCAAGAGAAGAAAGAATAACAAGTGCAAGGTTGCATTTTCAAGGATGGTCCGATGACAAAAATGCAGTGTTCGAATATGCTACATGAAACAAAGACACCAATAGTGTCTACAAAATTTAGTACCCAGGGCAAAATGTGTTGGGAAACTTACATCTATCTAGACAGGCATTTTCATTCAATATTATTAAATAATAATTGCACTTCGCCAAATTTACCTGGGCCTTAGTTGGTATATCTCCAGTACAGAGAAGCCAGAAGAGACCCTCTGGCAAAGGCTCAGCCCCACCCTCAGCAGTTGGCAGGAGTTTCTGGCACTCTGGAATAGAGTATCCACGGAACCTAATGCCCTCCTCTGGGTCCAGCACAGACGTTTCAGTTACCAGTCCCTTCATACCTCTCATACCACCATACATCTGTCGAGTTCCAAAGAAATATACAGTATGCAAGATTTCAAACACTTGTTACAAGTTGTATGCTACAAAAAAAATATAGTAAAAATAAAAAAAAAAAGAGGAATGGCTTTAATCTCACCATGTCGACCGTAACTTCCCCAACCTTGGTGCTACCGTGCTTCTTTCGGAAAGCCTTGACCTCTTCCTGCATGGCTGGCACCTTCTGTGCCATGACCTCTCGTAAGTCAGTATTCTCGGTGGAGTACTGAGCTCTGGTGGCCACTGCAGCTAGAGGGCATGCTTTCTGCAAATAATATATAAAAATTAATAGAGTAATAAATCAACGGATTATATTTCTTTTATCACAGCCACCAACTTTCTCTACGTGGAAAAAAAATTATATTAAAATTACAAGTTAATAAAGACAAACTAAACTGGCAGAAGACTTATTGGCCCATGTAAGGTAGCTCCTAGTTTTATATTATACTACACACTGTATTTACCTATATTTACCTAACCATGCTGAACCTAGTCAGGAAGTTTCCTTATATGTTTCTTTGTAAACTGTTCACAGAGCTACAACCTTATTTCCAAATCCATGTTCAGTTATTTTTGTATTTATATCTCCCTTTATTAATACCTATTAAATTATTATTAAATCAAGAGTAGATCAAGTTTCCTTACTCTCACAGGTACTTCCATACCATTGGAATGAGGAAGGATGGGGGGGGGAGGGAAATTGAGTACTGTAAATGTAAAATTACACAAAATTAAGAAGTCAATACAGAGATGGTATTGTCCATTTCTGCATTATCTGCACTGTAATTTATTTTTTAGTTAACAAGATGTCTTACTGGAGCGATTATAATGATAATGGCTGTAATAATAAGTCAGAACACATTTACCTTGGAGTGAAAATTTACACTTTAACGTGTGGTGGTGAGCTTGGGGTGGGAAGGGAAGGCAGGCATTGGTCTATCCCTCCCTTGGCCCCTATGCACTCTGGCTGTGGTCCAGTAGTTCTACCTCTACAAAGCTTCTCTTCAAATGCACAATAAAATCGCATGAACGTGATGCACCATCGAGAAATGATACATCACTAATCAACGGATCCATGTACTGTGCATTCATACCTACATAAAGTTAAAACTGCAAAGGGGTTATAATGTGGGCCAATGAACCCAAATTCAGGTTGTACAATTAAGTATACTGACCAAATGTGGTCTTTAGGAGACACTAAAAATAGAATTTGTCAAATTTGCACAAGCTAAATTAAATTAATGAATATAAATAAGCTAGACTTAAAAGAGCTCAATCTTCATACTTCCCAGTAACCTGCCTTTGCTACATTTATTTTTATTTAATCTGTATACCCCATTAATGTGTACCGATTTGATAGAGGGGTGAAAGCAGCACTCGCCCTGCACCAGTTTCTCCAACCCACAGATGGACAGGCTTTCACCAATGGAGGGTGAACTTAGTGCAGCTTAGTGGAACATGTGCTGCACTAAGCTGCAGCACATGTTAATTTTAAATATTTTAGTTTACTTTATACAATTTAATGAAGTAATGCTGGCTATTGGAGTAGCATACCCTTCACACAAATGATTGTTCTACCATATGCCATGTTCAACATGATACATACATAAATTAGTATTTTCTGTGACTGTTTAACACAGACATGAAAAGGATGGGTTTATTATAGATTTATACTTGTCTAAATGTGCTTCACAGTTATTATAAACATATTTCACTACACTACTCTCTTAATAAAAGGAAAATCTCTAATGTACATGCATTATAGTGGATGTAGGCTCGTCGATTTGTTCCCTCGAGAGAAGTTGCTTGGGGTCTGACAGGTCAAACGAAATCCCCCATAGAGCGTGGAAGCAAGGATATACTGTACAGGTTTTTTGCTACACCCATATTTTCTGGATGGTTCTGCCCCTGGGTCCCCACAATCACCATGCCTCTATGAACACACCAGATTTGGGTAAGCCATCATCCAAAGACTATTCTTGATGTATAGTACAGTTTAATAACCCACCCTCTGAGCATACTCTCAATAACAAGTCGCTCAATACCAACCTCTGACCTTCTCCTGACATCTCCAGCTGTGTAGAATATGAATAAAACAATTATCAACACAGTACATGACGATGACCTTGATCCCCTCCCTTTTATAAACAAATATTTTGTCAGTTTTGACAAAAACCATCACATGCACTGCATCTTCAAATTACCTCTACAAATCTTGCCACTTCTTTACACCGATGCCAGCCCTTTATCCTTTAAACAAATATATTGCGATCCCTGATTTCCATTCGACTCGTGCTCTTAATATTTTTTAAATCGATATTTGGCTAGTATCTAAGTATCAATACAGTACCTGTTAACTGGACCCTATTAACATCAGTCAATATTATCAGGACACTTCTTGGTATCCTTATCAGCATTGCTTTTCCATCCTTTAGTTATTTTTATCATCTTAATGTACATGTATTATAACTATGAACAGTTCTACAAATGTTCCAACTACTGCATGAACGTGCCCAAGAAATGCGAGAAAGGTCCTCAAACCCAATCCTAGTACAGTATACAAGGTAGATAGCATATACTGACTAGCAAACAGCACAGTATTTTTCATTGTGAATTTCTATCCAATACAGTGCTAGGACAAGCATTACACTCAAGTTAGTATAATTAGTCGAAGGCTTCATCTCAAAAAGAACACACACAAACGAGTCGCTCGGTATGGCCTGACTGGATGATGGGGTGGTAGTCCATACCCCAGACCCCCAAATATATTTCAATGGGTGTGTATATTGAATATGTGTTACACACATACCCAAGACCCCCATTGTGCATTAGCAAGTAAAGAGCAAGATTTAACAAGAAAGATCTTGTTTATCTCATTGTTAATGTTACTGTCATTCAGCTCTACCCTGATGATGTAAGAATCCATTACCATTTGTCATGACATGACGATCACACGACGAAAACATTAAAGCAGCAGCACAGTACTGTATATACAATGTATGTAGTATGCATATGTAACACCACTTGCCTCAGTGGAAGGGGAGTGATAGGGGGGAAAAGAGGAACAGAAAGAGTATAGAATGGAGAATGAATAAAGTACTTAATTCTCAAAGTTCAGTACAGAAATTTAAATTCCTATCTCAACAGTTTCCTTTTTTTTTTTAACTTTAATCAACAAGATCTACCTGTGAAACTGTGCACCTAATGCCACTTAAAAAAAAAAATTAACTCCTGGTAGTTGAGGAAAAAAATAAAATATAAATAAAAAAAATAAAAAATAAAAATTAAATAAAATCCCTTGAAATTCCATTGACTACCTTTCAATTACTTTCTGCCAAACTGAAATTCTATCATATATATCCCTGCAAACAAATCTAATTCCTATAATTCACCATACCTATCCTATTGTATAAATATCACCTATACTTTCTGGTTATGTTTGGTTATAACCCCCTTTCATCTTTGAGCACATCTGATTCTGGTATGCCATTAATGCAAGACTATTCTAGACGTACAGTACAGTACTCATTACCAACCTCCTTCGAGCCATATCTCAATAACACATCACTAAAGCCACCGCTGCTCGAAATTAGCAGTCAAAATCCTTCAATTCATCTGGCAAAAATCCAATCTTAAACTTCGTGTCCTTGAACAAGCTATTTAAAAAAAGAAAGAAAAGCTGAACACTTGGCACGAACCCAAGGAGCAAGAGCCAAAGACAATCACGGCAACCTGAAGCTAAACCAAGGTATTTAAACAATTTCAGCAAGGTTGTGTATTATCATTCACCATTAAAATATAGTTTATGTGGAATTGCTAGAAGGTAATATAATTATCAGAAGAGCATGCTAAACCCACTGACTATTCTGTGTTGCACAGAAATACTTTAATTGGATAGAGCAGGCCACGAGCTGGGATACAAGGACAGTGAAGGAATGCTGCCAAACCACTTTTGAATTGCCAAGTGGATCAGGATGCCCAGTGAATGCAGAATAGAACAAGTGAAGAGCAAAGGTGCCATGGGCACAATCAGAGAACACTATGAACATCAGAGGTCCACGGTTGTTCAATGTCCTACCAGCGAGCATCAGAAATATTACAGGAACAACCGTGGACATCTTCAAGAGGAAACTAGATTGTTTCCTTCAAGGAGTGCCGGACCAACCGGGCTGTGGTGGGTATGTGGGCCTGCAGGCCGCTCCGAGCAACAGCCTGGTAGACCAAACTCTCAAGTCAAGTCTGGCCTCGGGCCAGACTTGGGGAGAAGAACTCCCAGAACCCCATCAACCAGGTATCAACCAGGTTGGAAACCAAAACACTAGTACAAGGTTTCAGACTAAATGGTATGAGGTACTGTACATTGATATCTAATTACTTCATACACTCAGGAATATTGGAATATACACTCTTGTGCTGTACCCAGGTTTTGCTAGTGGAGGCTAATAGATCAGCCCGACATTTCATGTTCCCTCATGAGGTGGGGATGTTGTATAAGCTTGTAGCTAGTTTTTTATCGACACTGTAATCTTTCCATACAGAATACAGTAGCAGCACATTACTGCTGTGTGTACCCAAGCATTTTAATAAAAAAATAAATCTTATAGAACCTAGTAAATATAATTATAATACAGTATAATATTTCCACGATTTGGTGCTTAGCTCTTATGAAAATCATAAAATTATTATTCAAGTGTATTTTTTGTACTGAAGCTGGTATTTTCTCTCCCGATTCCATGTATGACTAATCATCCTGCAAGATGGGAATATTAAAAGAACATATAGCTAGTTTTTGATCTACACTGTGTAGTCTTTCATATAGAATAAGGTAGCAGCACATTGCTGTGTATACCTAAACTTGTTACCAAAAAAAAAAAAATAAATTAATTTCTATGCCATACAAAGTAACCTCTGATTAATAATTATGAGATAAGAATTGGCCAGTTTTATTCTTATACAAACCACCGATCAAGAGATCAAGATATTTGGCATTTATCACCATTATTGATAGTCGTTTCACAAGAATACAATGAAATGCTCCACAAGTTTCCACAAAGCTTTAAAAAAAAATAAAAAAAAAATCTATCACCCAACCGCCTCCTCCCTTTCCCATTAGGCCTAATTTTTTTGGCTTAAATTCACAATATGAATTTTCTCCCGACATTAACCCATAATAGACCAGACACATACCCAAAGACGCTTAGAAACAACAATAATAACGCATCGCACGAGTCATAAATGGTTTATCGGAGCTCAAAATGAAGTAAAGCCGTAGAGCAGCAGTAGTCGCCGGCGACCTTCCCTCTCTCCCCACCTCACACACCGGTCACCCATCCACCCCGGCGCCCTACACCAGCTACTGTACCTGCGGGATGCTCAGCAGCCTCGCCGCCGCCTTACGGAAAAGCGCCATCGTTTAATTCGGATCCCAAGATGCTCCCACAAAAGAAAAAAAGGTGGTGGGGGGGTGTGCCACAAAACTCCTCTTGCAGGCTCCGGCCACAACAACACACACCTCCGCCGACGACGACAACAGCAGCCGCTCTCTCGGCCTCCCCCGGGCGGCTCCACCTCCGCCGCCACACGTACCGCAGACTCCGCCCTTGGGAAACTCACCCGCCTCTACACCTAACGCTATCTTAACCTAGTGTTGAAAATCCAACCGCTAGATGGTGCTGATACAGCTCCTTTTTTTGCGCCTTTTATTTTTAATTTTGTTATTTAATTTACTTATTTATATACAAGAATGTACGCTGGGTTTGTGAGACTACGTAGCATTAGAGTCCTTACGTTCTTGTGCAAGGCTCCCAACACGCAAATAACGAGGAATTTGTTAGGCTTGAGTAATATATGACACACCGCTCTCTGGTGAAGGCTGTTCTCAGAACGCTTCATCTGGTCATATTCTGCAATATAAATGCATGCGTTTACACTAAATTCATAAATATTGATTGTATTTGCATATACAGCGCATACATCCGTATTTATGCAGTAAATACTTCATGGTTGCCCGAGGCCACATCTTACCTTCCCATGCAGGATGGGGGAGGACCGGAGGCACCCACACGTGACTGGCATATATTTGTGTATTTTAGTCTGTCACATTCTGCACTATAGACCGCTCCTGTGCTAGGTAAGTCCACTACGGGCTCACCATAGCCCGTGCTACTTGGCCCGCTCCTGTGCCAGGTAAGTTACGGGCTCACCATAGCCCGTACTACTTGGAACTTGTTCCGAGTAGCTAAATCTATAAAAACAACAACTGCACTATAACTAGTTCAAGATTGCATTCTCTTGTGCTATTTACACTTACAAAGCATTTAATACGAGAACGGCATGATGGCAGCCCTGACTTAGCTGATTGAACAAGTGATACACACATTATCCATTGCGTCACGCCATAACCAGTGGGCACAGTATCCAAGAGTGGCCTTGGTTTGACGATGAATCGACGTCAATTCAACTTTGAGTTAAAGTTGAATGATGAGTCGACGTTGAATTGGCGTTGCTCTTGAATATTTGGCCAATGGGTGACAGCTTGAGATAAGGAGAGATCGAGTGATCAAGATAGTGGAAGGAGAAGAAGGGGTCAAAGTTCTCTCCAATCAAGTTAATCAGCCAGGCTGTCGAGCCATTGTAGCCTGGCCCGATAATGATGATATCTGATAATGGTATGCGGGCTCGATCGTCAGTACTAATTAAGTTATCTTGCAGTCCCCCCCCCCCTGGAACAATGTCAGGAATTTAAACGGTAGATTCACAAATGCTAGAAGATTGGTTGTATGATGTTGAATGTCAGCCTATATTTTTTCAGTGCCATTCCTACACTGTCACCCTTGCAACACCCTTCCGGCCGGCAGCACGATATTGATCCCTAAAATAATAAACTTTTCAACACTGATATTCAACCAGCACTCAACCCATTTTAAACCGGCATTGTCCCCATTTTTTAACTGGTCAAGCTCAGGACACCTCCCCACTTTCCCAAGGGGATAGACAGGAGGCACTGGCCTGTGGTTACAGGCCATTTTTTTATTAGGTGGGGTAGAAATAGCCTAAGCTACTCTATCCCTTTGAGATGTATTTCTTTCTTGTCTCAATAAACATACTTGAACCCATTCTCATGTCAGTCACCCATCCGACGACGGTCTTCAACTCTCACCTTTCTGCCTTTGACCAGCTTACCATTCCCAGTCCTATCCCAAGCCATTAACTCTCAACTCTTCCTCCAGTACTCGTTCATTATTGTTATAATTTTATTCACTGAGTCGGGGGACAGGAAGCCAGAGTGTATTCATACACGTTAGGCTTTATCAAGGTCCCTCCTTCAGGGTCGAAATACTGATCCCGTTCAGGATGCATCTCCACAACAAGCTGACTAACTCCTGAGTACCTACGTGCTGCCAGGTGAACAGCGGCATTAGGTGAAAGGAAATGTGCCCAACCATTCCGGTTCCGCCCGGGATTCGAACCAGGAATTCTCGATTGTGCGTCGAGAACGAACCCGACTGTACTACTTGGACCCTAATCTCATCCTCCTGCTAATCTACCCACCACAATCTTCATGAACTGACACCTTATGCCTTCTACCTACCCCCATTATATCCCAATCGGTTATACAGAAAACCTGAGGGCATTTGCTCACAATTTAGTACGGAAAGAGCCCTTGGAGGGCACTAGTAACTTTAAATTGCATAAATCTCCTTAACCCCGCAAGCCTCATAATCAATACACACAAAGGCACAAATTATAGTGCATAGGCATATACATATGTATTTAATTTAGGCAGTAAGAGAGAGAGAGAGAGAGAGACAGAATCAGACAGTGTCACTGACATAGTGACAGTGTAGAGGGAACAGATTGACACAGCAGTAAGACAGAAACATAAAGGGAGAGAAAGAGAAAGGGAGAGAAAGGCACAACAAGAAACATAGATATAAGAAGACAAAGAGACAAACAGAAGTATATATAAATATTAAGAGGCAAGACAAAGAGACATTCCTTAGAAGTGTCAAAAATTAAGAACCAATCGATATAGTATCATTAGAATATTATTTCAGTTGTTTTATTTATTTATTTATATACAAGAAAGTATATTGGGTCTGCGAAAGTACATAAAAAAACAGATAACATTGGTGTTCTTACATTCTTTACAAAGCCACTAACACACACACACACACACATGGCGTTTCAAGCAGACTCATGTTACTCAGTACAGTAAAAATTAGGTATTTACCTGAAGGCCAGTACTATCTCTCAAGTGGCCTCGACGGGACAGGAAGCCGGTGGCTTATCAAAGGACCCCAACCCCTAATTGTTCCTGAGGAAGTTTTCCAACTGGATTTAAAACTGAAGTTCAAATACGTTTATTGAGACGATAAAATACATCTCAAGGGGGATAGAATAGCTTAGATTATTTCTACTCTCCTCTACTGGGCGCACAAATCCAGTGAGTACAAATCCACATTTATCAAATCCACAAATCACAGTACAGAGAATCACATTTAACATTGCAGGTTACTATAGTTAACACAGCATATAAGTGTTATACTCTTGGGGAAAAGTGCTTGTAGCTCCGAAGTATTATGTCTATCATACCATTATCACACATGAACTGAAGTAATGTCGTGGCATCTATGGCTTCGGCGGGTAAGCGGTTCCAATGGTTTATAACCCTATAGGTGAATAACCATCTCCTGTTTTCTGTCCTACATTGTAGCTTGTTAAGTTTGAGGCTGTTGCCGCTTGTATGCGTCACATTTGACCTCCTAAAGAAGTGGTCTGGATTAATATCCTCCAATTTGTTCAGTATTTTAAATCATGAACTTTTGAAGCATCTTACTTTGTGTTAAAACAATACCCTCATCCCTACAAAAAATATATGTACTGTACTGTGAAAAGATACAGTAGTGTGATAACATAATAATGTTTTGGTTAGCCGCTTAAATGGTAAATGGACGATGGCATTAAGATACGTTTTATGCAAACTTTACTTTGGCTCTTAGCGTCCCCATCTCACTATTTCTGTTCTGTACTGTGTTTCCATCGACTATATAAACGTCTCTTTCTTCTGTCTCTTTTTCTCTCTCCGTCTATATCCCCATATGTGTCTCTAATTTCCATTCCCATCTCTATTTTTCTGTCTTAATCATTCTCTGTACCTGCATTTTTTCTTTATTACTTTCTGTCTACTTCTTTTCTATTTTGTCTCTGTACCTGCCTCTATCTCTTGATCTCTCTCTCCTCCATTTATTTTAAGTGTGTTAATGTCACTGTTTACACATTTATCTCTATACACCTATATATTTAATTAGTATATATATATTTACAATACAACTAGTTTCACTTAAATGAAATGGGCAATCGACTTTATAATTGAATATCTGACAACTATATTTACTTTCTCCCGTTCCTCTAAATGTGCTTGTAGAGTTGTCCCTCTTACTACAACACATTTCGGTTGCCAATATCATCACGTGACTACACAAACTGAGAACGACGTCAATACCTTGCCCGGATGCATTCAACTGATATATAAAAATAAATGTATTATTATTTCATTAAAACAAAATCAAATATTTAAAAGTTTAACGAGTGACAAAGTAAACTTGAGCTATAATGTAAAAATGATTGCTATACAGAATGATAGGTAATCCAAGGCAGTCAAAAACACAACAATGATCGTATAATGAGGAAACTATTTATAAGTATATATATATATGTATTAAGAAAGTTTTTGAGAAATAGTATTAGGTGATGTTAAATGAGCAGGAAGGTGAAGATAATGAAGTTATTAGAGCCAGCGAGGGAGAACTGGAAGGCGGTGTCGCGCAGGCTGCTCCGTGCATCGTCTGCTTGGCTGGCTTCCACTGGCGGAGTCCAACTGTCAAAGTCTTTCCCCCCCTTTTTTTAAGTTGAATAAGGTACGTGGGTTGTGTATCAGGGTGACGGGGGAAGCTGGAAGGAGACCAGCTGTGTGTAGGAGCCAAGAGCAGGGAGAGTTGTGCCTTAATATGGAGGCTGTGAGGGTTTAAATATGGGGTTTGGTGGTGGTGTGGTCTTCATGGAGTGGCGAGCTGATTCCTTTCTTCTGGTTGTGGTGGTGATTGGCCGGGCAGATGAGCTCTAAGCTCTCCCACGACACGCATTTCAAGACTATGGCTGTTTCAGGGATATGATCCAGGGTAAGTTTGGGGATTATGAGGGGGTAATATGTGGGTCCTGCCGGAGCATTGCGTCACGAGGAGGGGGCCGTCTTTCCCCCCCTACCTACCTACCTGCCTGTCTGTCCCTTTTGACAGCTAGTGTGAGCAGCTTGGCTTTACCTCGCTCGCGTAAGGACACCTGGCAAGCCGATAAAGGCAAATAATGGAGGATTTGGTGTTGTCAGATGATAGGGGCTGACATTCGGCCCAGAAATGATGAAAAGATCTGGGTGGAGTGACAGCAGTAGGGAGTGGTCCTCCAGAGAAAGTGAAACTTGACCTTCCGTGAATGTTCTATCTTAAGTGTACGTTATATATATATATATATATATAGTTTTTTTTCCTTTTGTTGATCTAGATCTTTGTTGATCTTTTTGTTGATCAAGTTGATCTAGATAGGGTTTTGAAATGGTCAAAGGATTGGCAGATGCAGTTTAATGCTGATAAATGTAAAGTTCTGAGGTTAGGTAATGATGATAGAGTTACAAGATACGAGCTAGATGGTGTTGTGATTGCGAAGTCGGATTGCGAAAGGGATCTGGGAGTTATGATTAGTAAGAATTTAAAACAAAAGGATCAATGCATAAATGTTCGTAATAAGGCAAATCGGACACTTGGATTTATTAATCGCAGCGTTAGTAACAAGACACCTGGTGTGGTTCTCAAGCTATATCTTGCTCTAGTTAGGCCCCATTTAGATTATGCAGTTCAGTTTTGGTCGCCATATTATAGAATGGATATAAATTCACTTGAACGTGTCCAGCGTAGGATGACTAAGTTAATTCCCCAAATTAGAAATCTTTCATATGAAGAAAGATTAACAAAGCTTAAGTTGCATTCACTGGAAAGGCGAAGAGTTAGGGGTGATATGATAGAGGTTTACAAGTGGATGAATGGACATAACCGGGGGGATATTAATAGGGTATTAAAAGTATCAACACAGGACAGAACACGAAACAATGGATATAAATTGGATAAGTTTAGATTTAGGAAAGACTTGGGTAAATACTGGTTCAGTAACAGGGTTGTTGATTTGTGGAACCAATTGCCGCGTAACATTGTGGAGGTGGGGTCCCTCGATTGTTTCAAGCACGGGTTGGACAAGTATATGAGTGGGATTGGGTGGTTATAGAATAGGAGCTGCCTCGTATGGGCCAATAGGCCTTCTGCAGTTACCTTTGTTCTTATGTTCTTATGTTCTTATGTTCCTGTCAAAGTCCTGTAGACTCTGCCAGACAATTTGCACATCTGTTTTTCATGCTGTGGGTATGAGGTACTCGTGTGAAGTGGTGAGTGCAGGGCGCTGCAGAAGGGTCTTGTACCATTGATCATGTGGGATGTGAGTAGAAAAGTTTCAACTCCTTGACATGGTAGTGTTGAAAATCTTGCCTGATGATGAAGTTTTAGTGCTTATTATAAGCAGTAGTAGGGGGATATATTTTGGTCTGTTCAGTCTGCATTGATGAGCACACTGTTTTAGAGAAAATACAGCTGTGTGTGAGTGTATTTGAGGCATTGGCTAAATAATGAACTTATACATAGCTAATAGTGATAAATTATCTTGATAATATTTCACACAGATATTTTAGATTACTCAGAACCCCATTGTGCTCTATTTTTGGTTGTCAACAACATTGTTAAATGAAAGTTTAAATGGTATTGCAGCCTGTATTAAGCTATGATATTTACGTGAATTTATACGAAAGACAGACAGGCTCGACAAGGGTCCCACCATCATTCCAGAGGATTTTTTTCTCCAGCTGAATTTTAAACATACGTATGTATATTGTCTTGCCATTTACAGCTTCATCAAGTAGGCAATACCATAGGTTCATTACCCTGTGGATGAAAAAAGTCTTTTCTGTCCTGCAGTATGACTTGTTAAGCTTGAAGCTGTTACCCCATGTATGCATCGTATTGGGCATTTTAAAGAAGTGGTCTGGATTAATATCTTTCAATTTGTTGTGTTTTAAAGGTTTCAGTTGTCCGGCTTGTAGTACTCTATTCTTAATCCTGAACCCTCGACTGTTTCTGGTTTGAGAGTTAATACATCACCTGAACAAATCTGGGTGGTGCCTGAACAAATCGGGCTGGCACATATTTCAGAAGGTGGAGGCATTGCTGTGTTTGTGAAACGACTAAAAGCAAGAGGATTAATACTTGACAATCCACCAGAAATTGACATAATGGCACTAGATATATGTAATCACATTAGGTGACAAGTGAGAAGGTATTACAGTATAATGATCATGAGAGATCATGGCAAGAGCAGATAAAGAAATCATGATTGTTAGTACTTGACTTTAATTTTAATTCAATAGACTGGGAGGCCTATCATACAAGAATGGAGGGCATTTGGACTGGCTTATTTATTAACCTCATCCTGGAGGCACTCGTGTATCAGTATGTTAAACAGGTCATGAGAAATTAGGGAATGGGGTGTTTCATCAATGCTGGATTTGATATTTACCAGAAAAGGAGATATTTAGCATTCAGTACAACTGATCTCCCTTGGGTTAGAGCATCTGTGTTGTTTTGGAAAATAAATAAGCAATGCTTTATAACATTGAAGAGAATGGGGAATATGAAAGTTGAAAAAACTTGGTTTCAAGAGAGGTAACTATGGGGAACTTAGGAAGTTCTTTAATGAATTTGATTGGAATGATTTGTTGTTAGGCAAGGAAGTACACGAGATGTATGTCAAATTTTTAGATGTATATTTACCTGAATTTACCTGAGGGCCACCATCAATCTCTAGTGGCCTCAGCAGGGATAGGAAGCAGGTGGCTTTTAAAGATTCTCCCACATTTAACTTTTTTTTTTTCCAGCTAGATTTTTAACTGAAGCACTATAGGCTTAATGAGGTAAAGTATGTTAAATGAGAAGTTAAGCTATCATATATGAATTGTTCAAGAAATTTAGAAAATGTACTGTACTGTACATTATATCAGTGATACTGTATTGAATGATGAAAGTTATAGACTAATTTATTATAGAACCTTTAGTTTTATATATAGTACAAATATGTATTTAACACTAGTAGTACGTAACAGCAAAAACACAAAATTTACTTATTTTTTATGAGTAAATGTAAGTGAAATTTATTACATATCGGTTGGATATTTTTTTTTTAGTTCTCTTTTAAACTGATTGAGAGAAATACTGTACAGTTTTTAATATCTTTTTGGGAGGTCATTCTGCAATGTGGTACCCTTAATTTACATTAAATCTCTTGATGGTCAATTTGCCCTCTTAAGGATACCCAGTAGATATTGACTTCTTATGTGGTGCCTTTGGGTTCTGTTGCAGCCATCTGGAAAGCATTTGAGTTCAGAATTTTATAGGTATAGATACACTTGAGAATGTGTATGTGTAGTGACTTGATATTTAACACATTCAAGGATTTCTGTAAGGGGTGTTGAATGCTGTTTGGGATTGGATTTAGTCTTAAATACTGTATGTGTTATTTTTCAGATGTCTCCTTGCCCTTCCCCAAAATCGTGTGATACTTTTGTAGTTCTTCCTGATCTTACAAAAGGTGGCCATGTTGTTTTTGGAAAGAATTCCGATAGACCTAGGGAGGAGGTTCAGGAGGTGATCTATCGGCAGTCAATGGATCATGAGGAAGGCTCCAAGCTTCAGGTGGGCACTGAATTATTTTTGTAATGAGGCTGAATACTTCTGTATAAATATTTTGGAATTATCATAATCCAGTTGGAGCCTTTTCATTAAGATTTTATATATAGACTATATACTTTTTGTGAATTTAAACTTGCTTTAATGTTAAAGTTCAGCATAAAATGTTTTAAAGATATGCTGCAACACAATTACATCATTTATTCAATGATTGCTTTTGCAAACAATTACAGTAGTTGTTGAATGTGCTTTACGCTTTAGATTGAATTCATAATAGAATTAGTATCCGTGATAAAGAATACCTTATGGTTTTGTTGTTTTCTAGGAGGGCTCCTCAGGTGGCTCCTTGTTGCTAGCTACATGGATAACTCCATCCAGTTCAATCCATGCCAGGCTCTTGCAAGTCACTGTAAGCCTACCTAGGACCAGAGGGCAAAACCCAGCCCTTCTATAGAGGTGCAAGGAGCAGAGGGTACTAGATCACTCTAACCAAGAAAAGGTCACCAGAAAGGTTAACAAGACAAAACAATCAATTGGCAAGTTAAATAGAACAAAGAAAATGAGACACGATACACTGAACTGGGTGAACTATCCAGTCATGGAGCAGTTTACTCACTCATTGCACCTGTGCATTGCCAGATGGCTGTGTACCTAGCTTGTTGATCCTCCAGCTAGACAACTCCAGTCATTTAGCCAGGTAGATGGAAAACTGAAACCACATAAAGGGAAAGGGAGGCTCCAAGGACCCACCAGAAAGAGGTGTTTCATTACATTCAATGCTGGTTTTCTGGGAGGGCTCCTGGGGTGGCTCCTTGTTGCTATGTCACCACAGAGAGCAAAATAAAAAATGGGGTACACACCAGGAGCAGAGGAGAGCCACAGAAAGTAACGCCAAAGCTAGAAGGAAATAGTGATGTGTTAACTACCCTAAAAGGTTTTATCACCACCTGAACTGCTCATGCTCATCCTGAGTCAGGTTTGTCTTTGGACAAGGCTTGTAGTTTTCTCTCCTCGCCTCGATTTTTGGTAGATCTTGCATGTGGTTGCTAGGTTTGCTTGTTTCAGAGCTTCATCTATCCTCTGGTAGCAGGGGTTTTGTTCTTTTGGTCCTGGGGTCGTTTACTTCATTTGCAGCATTCTTTTGGCTAAGACTGAGATGGCTGGTTTCCAGAACAGTCCTTTGGTGATTGATGCAATACAGTATTATACTTCATTGGTACATTATTTCTTGGGTCCACCTGCAGCCGTTTGCCACTACAATACCTCTACCATTCTAGTGGTGCATGGGGAGACTGTTTCTAGATCCAGTGTCCCTGATCCCTTGTTCCAAAACCCATTCATCTCTGATTCTCTGCATTGAAATCAAGTTTAGCCAGCCTGCGGTCTACCCCTGGGTTCGGTACCTCGTGAAAGTGCCTTGACTGCTCGGCACAGGCTAGGCATATCTTGACTTTCTGTGGCTCTTCCACCCCTGGTGTTATACCTCCTTTTTTAAGAGTCTAGTACCCTCTGCATTTTGTAGCTCTCCAGAGTTGTCCCAGTTTTAGCCTCTGATCCCTGGTAAACTTACAGTGACTCGCGAGGACTTGGGTGTGAATTGAATTAGGTGAAGCTATCCAGGTAGCTAGTAACAAGGAGCCACCAGAAAGGCATTTCATCACAGTAAACACTTTTTTTCTTTACAGGGTTTCTGTGCAATACCTTCATCTGCCTGTATCATCCACCTACCTTCATCCCCCCTTTCCATAATCCACCTTCCTTCATCCCTTCCCATCTCCCTATGTTGAAATATTTATTAATTGTGAATGTGTAAACATACTCAGAGGTTGAATATTGTTAGTTGTGAAAAAGTCTTACCAGGTCATCATTTATGTATTTATTTAGATTGATTACATGGTTCTGTGTATGTAAATTCATTGATTATTTTTTTTTTACCTTGTGAGCACTGTTACTGGTAAATTCATTGTAGCTGGACACTTGTATTCACTGCTGTATTTATGAACTAAAAACACACATTTCTTGTTCCAATTCATCCCTTCTAATATGGGATAATATAGATTTTATGGAACAGATTGACATACTGTAGTAGTGTGCAGTGGTATAGTTAGTAATTGTATTTTTTCTCTTTACAGTGCACATATATAGAAATAGATCAGGTAGGCCACACTCATGCAGTTATACTCAGTAAGCCATCTTGGATGTGGGGAGCCGAGATGGGAGCTAACGAGCATGGAGTCTGTGTTGGCAACGAGGCTGTGTGGACCAAACTTCAGTCTGACGAGGATATCGTAGAAAGACTTCTGGGAATGGACCTGGTGAGGTAAGGTTAATTGTAGTGGGTTAGATGGTTGTCCTCAGCTGGTATTCTGTGGGAACGGGTGCGAGGAGTGGGAGCTTTTGTGATGGTTCTTGGCATTTTTTAACACTTTCGCTCGGGGATGACGCAGCATTGCGTCATCCGTTTACTGGCGGTAATGCCGGGGATGACGCAGCATTGCGTCATCCACTTTAAAAATTCGCCAAAAATCAGGTTTGTATCCGATTTTTTGGGGACTGGTTTTAAAATGTGCGCCGATGTCTTCCCATTTCCTTTGTTGAGCCTCGTGGCCCTCAGGCGGCTTGGCACACGCCGTGGGCCCATTGTCTTTGCTCCACTGTTGTGACCAATGTCGTCTCCCCTCGCATCTCAAACGTGTGAACATTTCGGCTATTTTCCGTGGCTATATTTCTTACTGCGGCTTTAGAAACTATCTACGCTTACTCCACGATGGATAGTAATCATGAACAAGGCCCTTCCAGGAAGAAAATTGCGAAAGAAAGGCTTGAAAAGGGTGGGAATTGGGAGTGTAGTAGGAAGGCCTCTGAGCGCTCACTCACGGCTAACGCGTGGCCCGTCTTCAACTCGTCGGCGGTTGGAGCGTGACCAGGTGTTTTTTTTTATATGCTAATGTTCCTCTAGAGAATTTTATTACGAACCCATTGAGACCAAAATGAAAGACCTAGGACAAAAATTGAGGTGACCAGAGTGAAAATAGTGAAAACATTTTATCCCGTTTGCGCGCTCCCGGGTAACTCGTTCGCACTTTCTCTGTTTGCTGCGGGTAATTAGCCGGGCTTTTGGAGTTTATATGCATTTAGTGCTGTAGAGAATTTTATTGCGAACACAATGATACCAAATTTATTCTCGTAGAAGGAGAATTGAGGTGACAAAGTTGAAGAGAGTATACACTTTTCGGAATTAACGCGCGCTTCCGTGACACGCTGGGGCCCATATCGCCCTGTCGAGGGGTGGCACGCGGGGTGAGCGAAAGTGTTAATATAAATTAAACATTGTTGTTCTTGTGGATTCTCTTGTCTCACTGGACCTACCTGATAACACTTCAACTTTACAAAACTACATACTTTTTATACAGAAAAAAAATTCCTTTTGTAATTTGTCAGTTCTTAATTAAAGTTGAAATTATATTATTTGCAGATTGGCTTTAGAGCGCAGTAGTACAGCAGAAATGGCAGTGGATGTTATCACTTCATTGCTCGAGAAGCATGGTCAAGGGGGCCCTTGCTCGGACGAAGATCCTAGCTTTGTATACCACAATAGTTTTCTTATTGCTGACCATAATGAATCCTGGATCTTGGAGACTGCTGGCAATCATTGGGCTGCTGAACAAGTCAAAAGTAAGAAGTTGTTGTATATTAAGATTGTAAAGATAATAATAATCTATATAACAAGTTGAAGATCTGATTGCAGTGATTTGATAGTAGGCATTTGTATTTCTTTTAATAACTGGTAAAACCTTCAGTCTTGTTTAACTATTTGGTTTGAAATACTTGTTAGATTTTAGCTGCCATGTTTGTCTGTCGGACAAACCAGATTGTTTAATTTTGTGTTTTTATTTTTTGTATTTGTTGTAGCTGTTTATTATGATTGATTCCTTGTTTTATGTTTAACTGTAAAAAAAAGTGTTGCAATGTATAGAACTGGAAGGTTAAATATCCGGTAATGTACTGTTCTAAATTGTTTCAGGTGGCTACAGGAATATTAGTAACGCATTGAGTATTGGGACTAAAATAGATAAGATGAGTGAAGGCTTGAAGGAACTAGCACAAGAGAAGGGATGGTGGGATGGTACTGGAGACTTCAACTTCTCTGAGGCATTTTCATCAAGTGGAGACTCGTCAGGAGGAAGGAAAGAGTGTGGCGAAAAGCTTTTGGCTCGGCTCTCTGAAGGAGGTTAGAAGCTTTAAGCTTACTTTTTGTGTAATTGGTGGTTTGTGTGTGTAAAAGTTGTAATCAGGCTGGTTACTTGCTATGTCACTCTGGATATTTATAGCCATTTCTATCTAATCAAAAACCTTGAAATAGTCGGCTCATTATTTTTAATTTGCCTCTCAAGATGACTTGAGCTATATGCTCATTTGCCTAATATAAATATATCGGCAGAAAAATGCAATGAAACTTTGCAAATTTTAATACCTGTGATATGTATGATTGGAGATAAAGTGTAACTTTCTAAACTTTTAAGTATAACCCAGTACTTTTATAGGTTGTAGTAGTCTGTCAATGAATAGGTTGTCTACACTTCATTTTGGAATCCTTTCAAAGGCTGTTTTCAAGAGTAGTTAATGTATGAAATATAACCTTTCCTCCTTTATATAGCATGCACTGTCATACTTCCTGTGCTGTGTTGTAGAATGGTGTTAAGTTGATGCCGAATAGTAACTTGCATGTGTACAACATATGGTGTCTAGCAGGAATTGATACACTGCACTGTATGTAGATTATACTAGATGTTTGTAGAAGGGGTTGAGTATTTGTTAACCCTTGAATTGTGGTTATCATTGTTCATGATCATCTTTATATGATGGTTTTAATTATTGTCCTGTTTTTATGCAAATGTAAATATTACTCAAATAATTATGGATGTAATGGAGTTTTTCTAGACACATGAAACAAATTCTGCTATTGTTTTTAATTGTGATTACTACCTGTATCAGTGAGATGATCTTGCAGCACAAGCAACACTATTATCCCAAACCACAATTTAGTGTTTGCTGCTGGTATTTAAATCTGTTTCCGGAGCAAAAGGAGTGAGTTACAAGACTCTTGTAACCCACTTGTTCACTTGCTCCGGTGCCAAGAACAGATCAACATATACTATAGGACTATAGGTGTGCGTATTACATAGGCAAAATATATATACCCGAGTTTACCCGAGAACCACTAACACTAGTGGCCTCGATGAGGACAGGAACCCGGCAGATTGTCGAAGGTTTCCCCCATTTGCTTTGATGATCTTTTCCAGCTGTACTTTAAAAGTTAACAGCGTTTTGGCATTTACAGCTTTGGCGGGTAGGCAGTTCAATGGGTTTATAACCCTGTGGGTGGAAAAGCACCTCCTGTTCTTCGTCCTCGGTCACATTTATTATCATTTTTGTGTAAATACATGGAGCTATTCCACACACAGTATAAACTAAAGCAGAACAGCCAAAATATAAACCCTCTCGCATGATCATCACAATCATTTCTTTTACTTGGCTTGTCAGTAATATTAAGTCGACACAGTCCATAGACCAAATGACACTCCCCCTTCCTCTCTCTTTTGCATGCAAATGTATTATAACATATTTTCTTCTTTTAATTTAAAATTTTTGCGTGCAGGCAGAGAGGCACCTTTGATCATAGCTGCACTTTAGGGGTGAAGAAAAGGCTGTTTAAAGGGAATGTAAACAAAAGTAATTATGGCAGAGGGAAAAAACTCAACATGTACAATGTGTGTAAATGAATAGATCCTAGATGCAGTTGATATGAGTTTAAGTGTACCATTATTAAATGAGTCTCGGGCATTTTTCCAACATGTTCATACCACTGAAGTGTAATATAACTTGGGTACTTGTGCATAGTTGGGAGTAGAATGAGTAGGGAAAGGAACGGGCTTGATATAACCAAATTCTTGGTTGGATGAAGGTGTGGCTCGAAGACTGCGTAGAGTGGAAGGGCCTTCCCTTGGGGAAATGCGTTTCAACAAATAATTTAGAAAATATGGTTTGTGATTTCTAACAATTCTGAAATTTGGAGGGGGAACATCTCATGGTTGGATTTGGTTTGGTATTCAGAAAGATCCATTGTATAGAGGTCTGAAGGTTTGAGAGTGCAGGTCTGCTGACGGTGTAAGCTACTTCATTGTGTTTCCTGACTGCACCTGTATGTGCCACCTGCCTCTACGGACTAGCATCTTCACGGCTGAACTTTATTTAAATTTTGTTTGCTCTTCGTCAACTGCTTTCTCGCTGTAATTCTTCCTTTGTTGTTATAGTTAACTCTTGCAGTGCCCTCATGGCTCTGGAGTTTTTTAATCCTGTCCATCATGTGGTCATCGAAATTCAGCATTGGTTGTTTCTGATCTCCAGCAGATTTACGACAGTCGAGTTTTTCTAGGTTCCCAGCCTTATTGATGTATCCTTAAATGAGCATGTGGACGCTACTGCTAAGGAAAGCTATACACACCTGTCCCATAGCTCATAAAGGAATTCCTTATTCCGACTTCTACCCAGTTATTCATTCTTCAATCCTTGCCCGTTGGCAGGGTCATTGGTCTTCTGTTACTGGTAACAAGCTGTGTGCTTTTAAGGGTAGCTTTTAAGGGTAGTGTGTCCCCGTGGCCTTCCTCCTATCATCGTAAACGGCAGTGGGAAACGGCTCTGATGAGGTTACGTATTGGCCACACCCGCTTAACTCGCAAGCACTTAATGGAGCGCCCCTTATTGCCTGAATTTCATTGTCGCTCTTACGACTGTGTATATTCTTGTCGAATGTCCTGACTTCCAAGATGTGCTTGCGTCTTGCTTCTTGACTGACCCTCGCGGTCACCTGTCCCTCGATAGTATCCTTAGTGAATCGGATGCCTTTGATGATGATTGCCTTATGCACTTTTGTTCTCATATTGGCATCCTTAGTGATATTTAGCATCTTTTGAATGTCCCACACTTTTGGCAGTGCTACATAGCCTCCCTGGCTTGGTGCCTTCTTTTGAAAATTACTTACTTACTTGAGAGTGCAGTAAACTTTTGTTAATTTCTAAATTGCTGCAAATTACTATTGTAATATATATTTCAATAATAGTTAGCTTTGAAACTTGACAGTATTGTATGAAGAGCGGGTAAATATTTTGCTTGTATTATACATGATAAATCAATGAGTACTGTATTCCCAAATTTTATATAGCGAACAGGATGTTGCTGTAGGCAATTTGCTGGGGGTGTGGTGGTGCTGTTTCTCTGATGTTGTTTAGCGTATATATAATTTAACAGTATTTTAAGGCTGTATTTATTACTAGATTGTGTATTTTATATTCAAGCATTGGTGGGGTGAATATTGGTTATGTTAAAATTATTATTAAGCAATTGAGGATAGGATATAAAGAAGGCTGACAAAGTACCTGCAAACATGAGTTGCTTATATGTGATTACAGCTCTGAGATGACAGAGCTGAGCAGAGCAGTAGATATTTCACTCTATTTTGATAAACTTGTATATTGTATCAGGTGATCTTTTGTTTCGTCATTCATGAAAGAATAACCCAGTTCACGTAAAGTTAAATCGTATCTCTGATAATTTTTTGATTGGTACCGGAAACAATACAGGTTCATATAGTAATAATTAATAAATATTGGTGAAAGTTCCTAGATCCTTGGGATTATTGTCAGTTCTCTCATTAGTGTTTAATAAAGATGTTTATTCAATCCTCACTGTCGATAAACAAGAGATTTCTGTTGATCGTGATCTTCACTTTGGAAATGTTAACAAAAATACAAATGATGGAAAGAAGATTATAGGAATTTTGTATGGGAAATGTATATAAAGGAAGAGTTCTGATTAGTGAAAGCTTACAGAACTTAGGAGTGCGAGCGACAATCGAGAAAGCTTTTCAGAAGAGTGAATGGTATATACAGTAATACAACTTTTTTCCAGATCGTGCATCACATTTTGAGTTTGCTAAATAATGATATCTTTGCAGGTAACTTTGATTTGAAGTCAATGTTCAGTGTATTGAGAGACAAGAAGTCTGGGATATGCATGTCGGCTGGCATGTTTGTCAGTACTTCCTCACAGGTAGTGCCCTGTCCTTGTGCTCTGCCTGCAGCTTAACAAAACAGAGTATCTTTTATTTTGGTCCGTCATTTTACCAAACCTGCAAAATTGTCTGTTGATTTTTGAGACTATGAATTTGGTGTTTAGTCCTGAAGAAAAATAATTGGTTTAGTACTTGGAAAAACGTTCATTTTTCTGAAAGCATGTACAGTGGTGTTCCAGGGAAAACTAATAGGGAAAGGCTTAAGGTGAACTATGGGTAGGTCAGGCTGTAATCCACTAATTACTGTATTCAAAAGTTATCTGCTCCTGTACCCTACCTATGGCGGGTGAGGGATTATATCTGACCACAAATGGATCCCTGGTCTCTGATCAGGCCTAATGGTTGATAGTCTGGTCCTAAAGTATAACATTAATATGATAGGCAATGTATGGGTTCTTATTAAGAAACCAATAGCAGTCTCATTACCATATATTTATTTACTACTAGCCGAACACAGGTATCAGGTGTAATGACGTGCCCAAAATGTTTTGCCTTGTCCGAGAATCAAACTTGGCTCCAATCAGTCGTGAGAAGACTGCACTAGTCACTGAAGGGCAACTTGCAACTATATCGCCTATCTTAGGTATGATACTCATTCTGCCAAGTTTCCTGGTTTGAAATGCAGAAATCTTTTCTTTTCTCTCCAATTGAAACTTGTGCTATCTAAGTTCTTAAGGCAAAAGTTTCATAATTTATACCAGAAAGATGCATGTGATCCTCTGTTTTGTTAGCTGCACCTTGATATTGTTTGTCTAATTAGTGCAGTATTTAATTATAATTGCGATATTTATCAATGTGACTGAAATGTTTTGAGAATTGGTGGATTTATTCAATGTGTGTTTCTCGTATCTACTAATTAGCCACTGTATCATGTTCTTTCATATATTTTTTAATTATTATTATTAATAATAAGATACACAATCATATTGCCGCATACAAATTTGCATGAATTATACAGATTTGCATGAATTGTACAGATATGAACAAGCAATACCATCAAAAACCAAATTAGACACAGATGCTCACAGTTGTACAAGGGCAGATATTAACATAAAGCATGTGCATTCACAAGCACATGCAGGCAAATTGTATGTTCATTTGGACAACATTATCACACACACACCACGTTTGTGTGCGGGTGCATAATAAGGATACATAACATTATTAACATTTGAATAACAAATTTTATGAAAATATTAATTTTACCATTGCGAGATTAGCCTATAATGCAAATATAATAATAAGATTTGACAACTATAGTCCTAAAGGTTATGTATTAATTTTCATTGCAATTTTTTCCACTTTCATGGACTCCTTACAAACATTAATCTGAAGGAAATAAAGTACCAAATGAAATCAAACAACCCTTTTCTGGTAGGCCTCCACTAGCTCCTCTAGTGTAACTGTACAACCAGCTTCAAGTTGATAAACTAGTTCTATGAGGTCCATCTGTCACCTACTGGGAGTTGGGACCAGAATCTTAACTCGCATTATGAGACCATGGGAGCAGCTGCTCGGCAATCAACTAGAAAATTGGGTAGTGTCCACCAGAAAGCATAGGCACAACAAAAGCTTATTTTGATATATAACTTGAAGGAAGTTATGCACCTCCTAGGTAAACAGGGCAAATGATTATTGCCATGCTGTAAATATCCTGACTGTGATGAGCCTGCCTACCACCGGATGAGAGTCCTAGTCACCTGAGAATTTAGCCTGGCTGCCTCCCCTCACACAGGAGCTGCCAGTGCAAAACCTGGTAACCCCATGAGGAAGAAAGGAACTGGGCAGAAAAACTACTGGAGACCATCAGGAAAGATTGTTTCATTCCATTCAACATTCAATTTCTGGGAATAACCTCTCGGTAGCTTCTTGAGCTTTCTCGGTGCTGACAAGCACATGCAAACAAAATGAAATTCGAGGACATCAAGCAGGGGAGGAGAGGTCTTAATCTGAAGGAATGAGGCCAGAAGCCCCAAGTCCAAATAACAGTTGTTGGAAAAAAAAGGCAAAAGGTGAGAAAGCAGCAAATATCTGCATGTACCCAAATATGGGACAAACAGCCGACTGGCTGTGCCTAACCACTATGAGAAGGACCTGGTAAAGGTGGGCTTTGGAACAAGGATCATGAGAAACAGGATGATCTACATGGCTCCAACTTCAACCAGGCCATGAACAGGGACCTGGAAAGCAAAGGGGGTAAGCAAAGATGATGTTCGAGTCATTCTGGGATGGAGGTTAATTGAACATGGCTGGTCCGAGTAAGACATTCTCAGGAACTAAACTCAAATGCCCTGTTATCCTTTCCTTCCATAGTGGAGTCATTAATATTCATATTCATGATTAAAATCAAATTAGACGAACATTTATTGTGTGTCACATTAGGCCTCTTCAAATTGTTAGGGTTTATGGCATCTAACGTGTAATGTATCTTGGTTATGTTCGAGGTCAGCAGTTACACCTTGTTTTTTATTAGTTATTCCTGTAGCACTTGGTCTATACTGGCAAGCGAAGGTATTAAATTCTGGGATGGTTTTTGTTATTGTAGTGCGACACATACGATAAGAAACGACAAGATAGAAAAAGCAAAATGGGGTAGCCTTCACAAGCCTGTTCCCACCACAGTCACTAGAGATTGTTGCTGACAGGTAAATACCTCTGCATATTTGGTATTAAGAATGCACGCTAGATATTTGTGTGCTGCTGGGCATCATATATTGATAAAAAGCCTGTAATGTCAGTTTGTAATATTCGATGTAGAATTGTTTTGAGTATAGTACAATATATTGTACATGTTTAAACTAAATTTTTTTTATTAATTTAAATATGGAAACTTTGATATTTAAAAGGCTGTTGAAAAAGGCAGAAAATTTTACAGCAGCAGGGTATAGGTTTCACAATGGAAGAAATAATATAACTAGTACTAAATTGTGGCCACTAAATAACTACTGTACCTGTACTTGATCTTGTGCTTTGCCTGAATCCTGTATTCTCAACAAAAATTGGTAAAAATTTGAAAAAAAATGGGACAAAAATATTAAATACACACGAGTTGAGGCCGAGAGGAATAAGTATTACAGTATAGTAGTAAACAAGTATAAATTATATAGAGAAATAGGGGATGTACTCTTAGTAAATAGTCTTAATGGCTTGGTGCTCTATTTTGATAATTACTTGGTGTTAGTATAGTAAAATATGTTTAATGAGGCAGTATGAATGTTTAGAGTTCTAAATTAAGAATGGTTAAGAGTAAACAAGGAGAATGTAAAAAATCAGAGTAAATACACGGGAGAGAAATGTGCATAACACGGCATATTAGATGCTATGAAATGTGTATTTCATTACGTGGAGAGTGGTGATATTACGTCAAACGAATATTTAGTTGGAAAATACAATGGATTGCATTTTCAGTGTCATCATTACAACTTTCCTGCTGCACACATCATGTACAAAATAGTGGTGAATGTTGCCTGTATTTAAACCTATTGGGAATACAAAGTGGTATTAAGTTTTGACTGTCACAGTATACTGGTATTCAAGTTTCTGGTACTGCATTAAAAAAACAAAATGGGGCAATTCCAGTAGTGTACATTGCTTTTTCTCTCTAATTCTGATTAATATATTATTTTGTCATACATCTGCATGATGCATGTGTGGTACTGTATTTATTGCTATACAGTCCAACCCTTTACCCTTTGAAAGCATTCTACAATGAAGCTGAGGAAGATATTTTTGTGTACATGAATGAGCTTCGGTAACCTTAAAATTATCGATTCTTTTAGGCACAGACTACTTTGACCCACCCAAGTGAGATGTTACACATTTTCATAATGATTAATGATATTTTATATATATTGAGCTGCAGTTTAGCTTATTCCAACAATTATGATCTTTATAAGTTTTATTTTAAAGGTTATTTTTATTTACTAATGTAGTATAATAATGCTGGTTATCCTCTCGCCTATTAAATACTTGTCAATACAATGGGGCAGTTTTAGGTTACCACTTTGGTGTTGTGCCAGATGAAACAAATTAAGTATAGGGCAACAAATATGGGAACTAGTCTTGTTCAACCCTGCTCTAAACTTGTTGCTCAGTACACCACCTCACAAAGGGGAAGAAAGCCCATCTTGAAGATTAAAGTTTTGATAGTTGATCAATGACTGTTTTATGTCTTGAAGCTATCATGACGCTCGGAGCGTTTGTTGTGATTGTTGTTGAAAAATTGTAGAAGGCTTGTGAACACACAAAGCTGTAATTCAGTTGCACATTTTAATTTTTTAGATGACGACTTGCAATATTTTGGCGATAAATTTCAGCTTTGGTGACCTCTATTGATTGAAAATCTCAAATAACAAATTTTACAATTGATCTTGAAGTAAATGAGGCCTTTTTGCAGATGTCAAGTTTCAATATGCTTCTCAAAGTTTTCTGTCATCTTCGTTTTTGGCAAGGTGGTGGTTAAAGTCTTCATTCAATCTTAAATGCTAAAGAGGCATTTGAAGAAATGTTTCAAAAAAATGGCAGTGGGTTTGTGAAGAGAAAGCGTATGGTGGGTATGTTTGTTTACAGTAGCTCTTGAACGAGGAAATGGTACTTGCCTAGTTGTGCTTGTAGGGGTTGAGCTTTGGCTCTTTGGTCCCGTCTCTCAACTGTAAACAGTAAACTTCTGCTCTTGATTTGTAGGAATTGGGTGGTGCTGGCTTTCTTTAGATATGTTTAGACTTTTGCTGTTCGTGTCCCTATCTTATGAAAGCTTTTATGCTCATTTCATTAAGTAGGAAAGGAGGGCAATGATGAATTTAAATTATTGGTAGTTAGTAGTTGATTTATCAGTGTCTAGATTTTCTTGTTTGGAATTTCAGTTTTATAGATAGGATATCTTTTAGTGTAAAATTTTACTCTCTCTCAATTATCACTACATTTATTATTTATCCTTCTTTTCAGATACTGTATTAAGATTTTAATTTTTGTTGGTGCATGCTTGAGGTAAAAGTGATATGAAAAACAGTCTGTAATTGAATTGAATTTTGAGACTGAAGTGAGTTCATTCAAATTAATTGAATGTAAATTGGATTTGCTTTAATCAGTCACATTTGTTGCTTTCTGTGCATGAACTTGAGTAACTTGGTGTGCTTCAGAGATGGTTGTCTGTAAACTAATTATTGTTGTTTGCGGCTGCATTCTGTGAAATATGAAGGAGCGTTTATTTTGTTGAAGCTTTTAACAAAATTTGCAGCTGAAGTGTTGCTCCATTGGTGCCTCTTCGAATTGATGTGGCCCCAGAGGTAGCCGAGTGTTTGATCTCGTGCTGCATGGGGTGGTGTACTGCAGCAAGTCGGGTGGGTTTTTATGGTGCGGTGGCGTACTGTACTGCAACACAGTATGCTAAACTGTATGCAAGATACGTGGCTGATTATATTTTAGTGGTTGTACTTGCATATTAATGAAGTTGTAAACTACAGTAGTTTTATTTAATGTGAGGGGGGAAAGGTTTATTTTAAATTTGAGAGAGTTTTACTGGGCTGTTGCCACTGTACCTCAGTGTTGCTTTTCCATAAATTCATGTAAGCTTGACGCCGCCTTTTGATAATTACTTAAATTCATGTAATATGTTGTCTTACTTGACAGCATTGTTGATCATGAAGTTTAGTAGCACAAAAGTGTGACGTCATGGATAACTTTTAGCGCTTGATTAGATTAGTACAGCCTTCTCTGGATCATTGGCAGGTGACTTTACCTTGACACAAATGTTTGAGATCCTCCGCGACAAGGAATCTGGAATTTGCCGTGGCATAGACCATGATCATCCTACTGCTGGTAGTATGGTGAGTTTTATGCGGTAGCTTGTGATTGGCTTGACTTCAGTTTTAGTGCTGTTTTATATCTAATAAATGATCTTTTAGACATGTATACAGAATGTAGGTCATCTTACACATCCCACAGTAAAATCATTCATGCCAACCATACAGTCACTTATTTATTTATTTATTTATTTATTTATTTATTTATTTATTTATTTTATTCATAGAAGGTACAATGGGTTTGTGAGAGTAGATAATATTGGTATTTTTACATTCTTGCAAAGCCACTAACACACAGAACATTTTGAGCAGGTCCTTAATCTAACAGATCAGGTAAGATAATAGGTACATTTTAACAAAATTTGATATCAACATATAACTACAATATAATTTGACAGGTGATTTACACTGGTGACAATGTATGTCTTAAGTACTAATGTTGGGGAATGGGTAGCACAAAATACAGTGTGAGTTCGAAGCACAAGGTAGGAAACTATGAGGATGAAATTAGGTACTTTTTGGTTTTACTTTTAAAATAAGGTATAGGTTGGACAATTTTTTAATTCATTAGGGAGTGAACTCCCAAAGACTGGGTCCTTTTATTTTCATGAAGTGTTTGCATAGATTTAGTTTGACGGGCTAATATCAAAGAGATGTTTACTATTTCTGGTGTGGTGCTCATGGGTTTTACTCTACATATTAAGGAACAGTTTCAGATCAAAATTATAATTTAGGAACAAGATTTTGTACATGTAAATAGCACAAGAGAATATGTGGAGGGAGAGTGTGCTTGGCTTGTTTGGGTAATTTAGCAGAAGGGCTGTGTGTTGTCTGAAGACAAGAGTTTGTTATAGTTACACATCAGACAAGGAACAATCTATATTTTTACTTCCCAATAGGATAATATTTTTATTGACACTTGTAGAAAAACTATAAAGTGCTGCATCACACATTATTTTTATGAAAGGAAAATTGGAGATATTGGGGAATTTGAGACCTTGAAAAAAGGTAACATCACACTTAATCAGATACAGTATAAATGTAATCTTATTTCTTGCAAATTTTAGTTGTACTTAATTGATGTGAACAAGCAGAACTGTTATCAGTAACGTGTGTACTTTCTGAAAAATACAAGCCCATTGTTAAGGATATTTTTACCTTGGTAGTTCAATGAAGCTTTTGTCATTTCATGAACCAATTATCAGTTTGTCTTGGCATTCTTGTTTTGACTATATACTATATATATATTCATAGTTTTTAAGCTAATATGAAACTTAAATTGCTACTTACTTTTCTGGATGGGAAGAACAGTGGCTCCCTATTACTAGCTGCACTGATATAGCTCGAAACAGAGACTACAAGTCACGTCAGCCCTTGTGAGTCCTTTAATAGCTTACCGGAGTCCAAAGGCCAAAACCTGGCCCTTACAGAGGGGCAGGGAGCAGGGCATTCGTCATCACTCCCACCAAAAAGACAAACTCCCCAAAAGAAAGTGAAGCAAAACACACATGAAAGGTATACTCCAGCTAATAAGGTTATACCTTCCCTCCCCTCTCCATCTCGCCTAGTAATGGCTAGCCACGGCAAGATGGTAGCACCACGGGATCTGCCAGCTCATGTCAACAATCCTCAGTCCTTTGCCAGATGTTAGACATTTCTGATTGCTGCTTAAATGTGCAGCTTGTTGGGTCCGAAATTGTTCTAGATAAGTGTTGGCCATCCTTTGGACTCTGTTCTGAGTGGGGGGGCTCATTTCAGTGTGTTGTTTCAATCTTTCGTGTTTGCTTCATGTGCATATTTTCAGGTTTCACTTTTTTTGTGTGAGACTTTGGAAACTTCATCTTGAACACCTTGTACTATGCGCTACCCTTTCCTAGGTGCTCGTTGATGTTGCCCCTGCCCTAACAGGGTTGCTTTCCTGGTGGGTTTTGATGTTTGTCCCTTAGAAGCTGGCCTCCTGTGGAGGGTTCCTCACCCTGAATAGTAAAAGGATCTTCTGACTTCTCTGATTTTTGGGACTTTATGTGGTTATTGTTTAAGGGGTGTACTAGAGTTTGCATGCTTGTACATATGGCACATTGCTGACATCCTTTGCAGCCATGTTTTTCCTGTGTGCTGCATTTAATATAAATTTATCTGGTGAATGTCCCTAGTGCCTAGATTTCATGCTCACCTCTGGGCCCCTGAAAGCCCAGTGGGTTATTGGTATGGTTCATTATGGAGCCACACTTGCTACTTGCAAGTTCGAGGGATGTCCATCCACTGTTCTACATGCCAATGTTATTTATTCGTTCACCATGCTGCCTGTTGGGTAGGTGATTTCTTCTATCCCAAGGCCTACAGCTTTAGTGTTTGTTGGGTCTATTCTAACTTGAAGCTCCTTCTAGGAAAGAGGCTAATCAGGCAACTGCTGCTACATGGGCTCATTTTACTCATGTTGTTTACAGCTGGGTGCTCACCTGGATGCCTTGGAGTTCGCCCCTGTAGTGTTTAGGGATTTGAAGCTGGAGCAGTAGTGAATTCCTGCTCTTCTAAGTTTGCTCCTCCTCCTCCTGCAGTGACTGGCTGTTTGAAGATACAAACAACTGTTTGATACAGATACATAGGTTAAACAGCTACCCTATGTATCTGCAAACCAAGGACCTGGTTCTTTCCCAGTATGTCAGGGTTTGGATTCCAGATCAACTGGAGAAAGTTCCAATTGGTTTCATCCCTGGTTTGGACTTGGTTGGGTCTGGTTTGGGATTCCTGGTTGACTGTCCTTTCCCACTGCAACTCTGCTCCTTATGCAGATTTGTCTCAGTCTGGTGTTGGAGAGGCCCCCTGACCACTTAACGGTTGATTGAACAGTTTGGCAAGATCCTTAATTTTGCCTGCATGGCTTTTTTCTTTGGCAAGGTTAAGCGTGTTGTTTGTTGCTTTGGGGGTTGTTGGTTTCATATTGCAAGCCTCATTTGTCTCGGGTCATCTGAAATGTCATCAAATCTAGCCAGCTTGTGGTCTACCCTCATTCTGTCATGTATTCGAAAGTAGACCACTCGATTATCTAATACTGTATCTTGAGTTAATATCTGCACCTGGAGTTTACTTTCTGTGAACCTTGCATTTGTACTTTTTGCTTTGCTTCCCTTCTGTGGGTTTGTTTCTTCAGTAAGGGTGATGGTGAGTCCTCTGTGTCTCTGTGTGAGAGTCACACCGCCTATATCATATTAAAGGACTCACAAGGGCTTATGTGACTTGTGTGGAGCTATCTTAGTATGTGCGGCGAGCAACAGGAAGCCACTGAGGCCATCCCAACCCCCCCACCCACAACCCCTATGCCCCTCCCAACATAAAGAGGCATTTCACTACATTTAACACTTATTTTTATGCCTCTTAATTTTTTAAGTTCCATGCTCTAATTGGTACAGTGTTGTACTGTAAATTAATATTAGGGAAAATCAGTGAATTGTAAATGAATTTAACAATTTTAGAGGTAAGAGGTGAATTATGATTCTTTATTTTTTAATATTAAAATAAGCCTGTTTGTGAGTTAATTTTTTGTTTTTAATTTTTTTGCATGTCTGCTGTATGCCTATATATGTGGGCATGCATGTGTATATGCTATATGCTTGGATATATGCAAGAAGACAAAATAGGACTATTTGTAATACTTTTGTAATTGATACAGGTATTTTTCCCCATCCTTATTAAACAGTTTAAATATACTGTACAGTATTGATTCATATATTTTGTTTTTGTAGGTGTCTGTTATTAGTCATGGTTCTGGACGGCCTAGTTGCCATTGGTTTACTGGGACACCTGATCCCCAGCGTTCGGTGTTTAAGCCATTTATCTTCACTGACAATGTCAAGATCTCGCCACGAATTCAGAGCCCTAAGATTCCTGATGATGAGGATCCTGCAAAGGCAAGTTCATAGCATTGATGTATAATTTTTCTTGAAATATCATCCAAGATTCAGATATAATATTAATATTACACTTGTCTCATTAATGCACTTTCAACAATTCAGCCCCCAGAATGCTTCAGATTGTGTGAATGGCATATTTGCACTGAAAAGAACAAGGCAGAAATAAAATGTTCACAATACAGCACACAAAGTGACCCGAATGATTTTAAACTTTAAATAATACCCGTGGGCTGCCATCTGTAGTGGTCGTGGCTGGAATAGGAATCTGGTGGCGTGTGGATGGGATAGGATGCTGGTGGCTTTTGGATGAGATCCCAAATTCTGCCTGACGAGTCTTAGTCTGTATAGCTATAGTGGGTAAATAGTTCTATTAGTTTATTTCTCTATCAGTGAAAAAGCCTCTTATATTGTCTTGTATATTGAGACTTGGTGAGATTGAAATTTAAATATTTTGTACCCTTTAATAAAGTGATTGAATCAATGGCTTTGAATTTGTGAAGTATTTTTGTCTTTGAGATGAGCCGTGTCTCTTCTTTCTTGTCTTGTTTGCAGAGTTGTTAATGCTGAGGCCTTCAGCTTCTCATGGTGTGAGAGGTTACTTAGTTTTGGGATGATCTTCACTCTGGACTTTTCCTAGTACAATACTGGGTTTTTTTAAGGTGATGTCTCCATGCTTGATTAGTGTAGGTGTGGGGTCATGGTGGCTACCACATGTACAAATCCACACAAGGGATTTGTAGCAAATTTTTTCATATTTGCTACGTAATGTGCTGTAAAAAGCTGTACTGTACTGTACTTTGAATCTAATACTTACGCTCTTGAGTGTTTTCACTTATTTCTTCATGTCTAGAAGATTTTCAGGTTTTCTTTTGCTGACAGTAATTTCTAAGGTTGCTGTAATTCTTCAAAATACATTTACCAGATATCTAAATGACATGCAAGGCTACAAATCAAAAGGCTGAATTTTGTACTTTTGTTTGCAGGTTATTCCTCGATTTGCTAAGCAAGTAAATCGAACACACTTGCTGTATCGACGTCAACAGGCTGCTACCAAGGACGGTGGCAGTATTGTTGAAACATTACGGGACCTGGAGAGAAAGTGTGTGCAAGAAACTGAAGCCTGCCTTCAGAACTTTGATCCAGAAAGGCTGTCTGAGATGGACGACTTATTTAAAGATTGTGTTGATTCAGAGCTCAAGTTTTATAAGTAAGGATTTTTTTTATTTTTTTTTTTTTTAACAATTGGTTATGAAATTTATATACTGGGTATTTTTTGTGCTGTTTTTCTTGCTAATTTCAAGGGAGTAAAACAGGCAGTGTTTTAATCCAGTATGGTTCTTTCATAACATGTTTTGGTAGTTATTAAAATATATCTAGAGGCCCAGACGGCCAATTCAAGGAGAGCAATTTATCGTTGAAAATGAAACGTCACCAACACAATTTGCAAGCAATCTCTGATGGATTTAAATCTCCTGTAGCATTTGTGGACAGGATCTTTGCTTTTCCTCTACATTGTGGGTGTTTACTCATAATGTGGATTGAACACCATAGCCTCATGATGAGTTCTTCCAGCAGATTCATAACATATATATTGAACATTAAATTAGTAAACATTTTTTTATACTATTGTACGCTAGTGTTATTAGTAGTCACTGTTAGAGCAGTATTGCAGTCAAGAATTGATTGCTTGATAGAAATCTGTGACACTTTTTCAAGAATATTAAATTTTTTGTAAATTCTAATTCTACTGTATATCAATGAGAAAAATATATTTTCTTATTGATATTCAGTATATAATAAATTTCACAACTGCAAATGTGGCAAATTAAATTTGCATAGTACAGTACTTATGAATTGGTGATGAAAAAGAACTACTGTATTTGCTGTACTGTATTAAACATGATTTTAATGTGACTTTAGAAGAGTGTGTTGAATTTAAACTAAAAAAATGTGAGAATATGTAGAGTTGAAAATGAATAACTTAATTTTCATTGGAGTGACTTGCATTAATATATTCCGAAGTCTTCTAGACTGTCATTGATACTGCAATTAACTTTCAGGAATATAAAGGTTTTATTAATGCCTAGAAATGTTTTGCCTGTATTACAGTATGTACTGTGTTTAAGAATTTGGGTGCTTATGAGCATATTGAATGTAAAACTAAGTGAAAAGAGAGCACTTGAAATAGGCATGATGAGTGGTAATAGCATGTCATGTGTATGTTGTTATAATAAACTTTGTGCTACAGAGCAAAATGCTGTTTTTTTTTTTTATCTCTGAAATTGATAAATAACAGTGAGTGTTCACCTGCGCTATGTACGAAACATTTTAATGCGCGAGGCAGTGTTACTTCCGATACTGGTGATATGTTTAGGGTCGGAGTAAATTCGTGTATTTATGGGATGAGAGTAATGTAGTTGTGAAAGTGTGTTTTTTCTTTTAAACACACTTGATTTTAATATAACTTTTTAAATAATTTTTTAGGCTCATTTTAGCTGATGTTGATCATGATGTGATCTGCACGGTATACATTAGTATCTTGGTTAACCATATCTTTATTTCCATTTTTTTTTGGTTTGGTCTAATTTCCAGGTAATTTTTTTTATAATTTGAAGGTTCACACCTTTTTTTTTTTTGCATTTGCTATTTATATCCATTTACATTATTTACTTCTCTGCGGGCATGATACAACAAAAGGGATAACTTGAATTGGTTGCAGTTAATGTAGGAATATCAGTTACCTACACTGCTTGCAATTAGAAACCTGAAGTAACAGTTTATGGAACACCTCCAGAGCAGACTGTTGATATAAATAAGTAATAAATCCTAGGGATAGCATGTATGAGGTAGCTAACCTGTGGGTCGTAACTCCGAAGTGCCAAGGCTATACATAATTATTATGATTTACAAGCAGTATGTAAACAACTAGAAGATACACGAGTTAGTTGCAGGTTTGCTTGGCACTAACACTATTCAACATTTTTTATGGTAGAAACCAAAGATCATGGTGATATTACCTTTTAAGAGAGTTTCATATTTTGTACTTGAACGCAAATGTTCTTTTCTGTTTTCTTACTAAATGCTCTCATATAATTAATATTTAGAGAGGCGAAAGGTAAGTTTAGCAAGGGTGATGAGATTTTCTTTGGGGCTGGGGTTAAGGATTAATTGTTCTTGGTAGGGGGAGTTATTCCAATTCATGCAAAACGTTTGGCATCATAGCTTTTACTAGATTACATATCACTGTTTTGAAATCTTGTGTGCTAATTGTATTTTGTACTTGACTGTATCTCTATTTGATTGTGTCATGCGCTTAATTGTATCTAGTACTCTCCCACACCAGAAAGTGACTTATAATGGAGCCTCACAGGAAACTGTTGCCTGCAAAAGCTATATACATATAGATTTATATGTATATAAACTATACAGTCTATATATATATAAATAGATTTTTGCAGAAGTTGAACTTTAAATTTTGGTGTAGATTTTGTAGTTTAAATTTATATTATTCATAAATTAAAGTGATGTATTTTTAGTAGTTTTGTCTTAATTCATTATATTGTATAATTTAAAGTTTTATTGAAGATGTTTAGGAACTCAATCATCTGGTTCGTTTTAATGTTCACACCTATGAAAGATTCATTGGTGTTTTGTCAACATTTTCTCTGATATGCATTAAGTGACAGATGATAAGCCATAAATATATTCTAGAATTCTAGAAGTTAGAATTCCCATGTCATAAATTTTGATGCTTATAATAGGTCTTGTGTTATTGTAACGGAAAATAACCAAAATATTCAGTGCTTGAAATTCTAGTCGTGGGAGCATCAGATAATTGGTATATGTAGGTGGATAAGCGATGCTTTCGTGCATTATTAACGTACAGTATAGGACAAATTAAGATGTTTTAATAATCTGAAATGACGTATGTTTGATAGGGATTAAGGTAATGGGATTTCCCCGAGCTTAAGTACCAATAAGGCCACCATGAAGTAATAACTTTAGGACTTAGGTGGGGGGGGGGGTGTTTGTCTTAAGTCATGGTCAAATTTTGACGTAAGATTGATTATTGACGTAAGATTGATTATGGTTTTGTCTTTTTTTTAAACAGTACAGTATAGAAGGGTTGATTTCTGGCATACCTCCCCATGAACCATAGTATGGTATTGTCTATTGCATGTCACGAATTAAGCTTGCTTGAAAATTTTGTAGTATTGGAGATGGGTAAGAGTACTGTTCAAGTTGCTGTGTCATTAATGGCAACTTGACCAAATTGGTTCTTGACATTTATTGTCAAATACAAATAATATAAGTTGTCTTACATTGGTTTCATTTCCTAAAGCGTAAGTTTTGTTGTAAAAATTTGTATAAGAAACCATCCAGTTGTAAATGATCGTGTCAAAACCCAATTTGGTTAAGCATAGCTCGTTACAATCTATTTCTGGCCATGTCGATAAGTTACATGTTGTTTTTATGAAATTTGAGCTTCTCCTGCCAAGTTTTATTTGAATATTTTTGTTATTTCTTGGAAACTGGTTTTGTAAACACAAAAATGCCTCTGCTAAGGAGTTAAATTTCAGTGTTTAGGTTTTACTGTTGTTGATTAACAATACGGTCCATTAAGACCATAGGTTTGAGTACGCTTGGTAGGTGAACCCTTTCTTCAAGAGTATTATAGAGCATGGAACTGAATTCCTAACTATATATACATAAATAACAATTTCAGATTTGTTTGGTCCCACAAAATTTAGCACTAAACCCCTATGCACTACTACTGTCAAGAATGACATGTCTTGTTCCCAAAACTGTAGCAGGAGTCCCCCACTTCACCTATCCATAATAAAGCCTGCAACTTGTAAATGAGTTCATATTATCCTAAATACTGTAGAAAAGATAAATTTAGGCATACTGTATTTTGATTGTGCTTGCTTAAGCCAATAGGTTCATTTTCAAAACTTCTTTTTGTTGAGAGTTATCACTAATGGTGGTTGTTGTTGCATACATCACTAGATTAGACTTTTGTCATATGTCTGTGAACTACTTGAATTTTTAAGTATTGTTCTTAAGTAGTATACTACAAAGTACAACCTTAGAATGGAACAAATGATGAAGTACAGACAATTGAACACACTGACAACAGAATAAAGGATTTCAATTCTGTTTAAAGACTATAATGGCATATTCAGTTTTAAATCTTGCTCTACTTTTTCTCCTATTGCCAGTTGTGTAACACAGGTGTGTGTGACTATGCTCCTGTGTGCAGAAGACATACTATAAGTCAACTCTCCTACCAGGAAAAGTTGAGGATCTCTGGGACTAACACCACTACAAAGCAGACATGCCAGGGTCCAGATTCACGAAGCAGTTATGCAAGTACTTACGAATGTGTACATCTTTACTCAATCTTTGACGGCTTTGGTTACATTTATTAAACAGTTTACAATCATGAAAACTTTCCAATTAACTGTTGTTATTGTTATAAACAGCCTCCTGGTGCTTCGGAGCTCATTAACTGTTAATTTAATTGTAAACAAAGCCGCCAATGATTTGAGAAAATATGTACATGTTCGTAAGTGCTTGCATAACTGCTTCGTGAATCTGGCCCCAGGGCTGATACCAAGGGACCTTTTTAGAAACTGAATGAACTAGAAGATATAAATGCTGTACAATGTAACTCCCATAGGGAACAATGGCTTCATGCTCAACAAGCAATAGAAAATAGCTTTTTCACTTAATAGGTAAAATCCCTTCATATTGCCTAATTGCAGAATCCATAAATACACTCAGTTCAAAATTAAACTGGAAAAATTCTCAGGAATAAAGGGGTGGGGGGGACTTTGACAAGCTGCCAGCTTCCTGTACCCCAAGAGGCCTCTGGAGATTGGTCTTGTGGTAAATTCCTGAAAATATAAAGAGCCGATCTCGAGTGCCTAAGCTAAAAAAAAACTTAGTCTCCACCCACCATAGTCATTAATGTAGCAATTAATTGCGAACATTTGAACTAACACAGCGTTGTATACTTATTGTTTATAACCCAAAAGTTTGATTATAGGCTATTCACCCAAGTCAAATATTTGCCAGCTTTGGAATTCTTTTGTTCTACCCATCTCTTTAAATACGTATTGGAAAATCGTTCCAATGCACATATAAGCTTCAGAACGCAAGCTGAAACGGAATACTTTACACAAACAACTACAGTTGTAACACCAGTGATGAAGAGGATATAAAAGGATAACAAGTGAGATCACGCGCGGGAGCTAAGGAACACCTTCAGGCATGTTAGTGGCTCTGCAGGACTGCTCTGTGCACTGCTCTGTGCACTGCTCAACATCTGTGTCCCACAACTGGCAACATCTGAGTATAAATATAATAATAAAAGTTGAGAGCACTGCCATATGAGGCAGCGGTGCCCGGAGGGAGTACAGCGTGAAGAAAGGAGCTAGGGATGTAGAAGGGAACCAGGGGTCAGGGGTGTAAAAAGAAGCCAGGGGGTGTAGAAGGGAGCCAGGGGTTAGGGGTGTAAAAGGGAGCCAGGGGTCAGGGCTGTAAAAGGGAGCCAGGGGGTGTAGAAGGGAGCCAGGGGTTAGGGGTGTAAAAGGGAGCCAGGGGTCAGGGCTGTAAAAGGGAGCCAGGGGGGTGTAGAAGGGAGCCAGGGGGTGTGGAAGGAAGCCATGGGTGTAGAAGGGAGGGCGGAGTGCAAAACGGGGAAAGTAGAAGGTACGGGAGAGGGAGCTAAGAAGAGAAAAGAAGAATATAGGAGCTGGGAATGAGTTGAGAAAAAGAATATCCTCAGATATTCTGCAGCAGCAGCAGGCCAGGCATCGCTCCACGTGCCAGTCAGTATCTGCTGGAACGTGAGGGAGAGTGCACGCACCTCCCTGCTGCTCTCACTTTTCGTGTGCGTGTGTGTGTTCGTGGACCGAGTTTATAAAAAATACAGAATATACTTTCCGTTAGCACATTATTGCAAAAATAATATACACTGATCACTAAATATTTTTTTTATAGACATTTATATTGTGTATAACTATAATTCAAGTTGTATATATGTTAGTGTTGTTAAAGCTAATTAGCAAAAAGCTCATTTATATGCAAGTTTACTGTATGGCAAATTAGTTTATAAAATCTACTGTACCCTCGGGCGAACTTTTGTATCTGCTTCAGCGTTTTATGTACTACTGGATAGACAATATTATGTATTATGTAGCTTATTCACGTATGTAGGAATATGTTGCGAACTTTTGTATAATATTCCGTAGTCTTGATCTATAGTTTCTTTATTGTTTTTCTTACGATACATACATGCGTGTAAGTAATGATTTTGTATGTACATATTCCAGTACATCTTCCTAAAATGAAATAATTACTTACAGTAACTATTTGGTGGAAAGTACCATTTATGTAGTGATGGATCACCAGAAATCCAGATCCAGATCATCAGATGGATCACTACGCGTACTAGTGGCTGTACAAGAATGTAACAACTCTTGTATATATCTAAAAAAAAAAAAAAAAAAAAAAAAAAAAAAAAAAAAAAAAAAAAAAGTTCACTTTTGTGTTACTGAATTTGGATAAACCAGAAACAATTATATTTTAAATGCCACATCAAAATACGACCTACCTTAACCTCTCGTAGCATCTCTAGGCCTAGTACTTGCCATCTTAGGCCTAACTCAGTACATATTTGCGCTATATATATATATATGTAGGCCTAGGAATATTTTAAGTTTGGTTTTTAGCCTTATATTTTTTTCCAAACATTTTTAAAATTAATAGTACAAAAAAATGGGTTTAGTGTTATCACACAATGATACTTACGACCAAAGCGTTGCTCTTAAGTACTGTTTCAAGAGGATGTGTCGCCATATATAATCCCTTCATCGTATCTTTCTGGCTTCTGGGTTTCTACCCATACAATTTTTTGATGACTAAACCCTACACACACACACACACACACACACCAGAAGATGTGTGTGTGGAGTGGGGAGAAATAGGGAGGGGATGAGATAGAAAGTGGGAGATGGGGGATAAAACAGTGAGTGAAAATGGGGAGACAATACACGAGTGAGAGAGAGAGAGAGAGAGAGAGAGAGAGAGAGAGAGAGAGAGAGAGAGAGAGAGAGAGAGAGAGAGAGAGAGAGAGAGAGAGAGAGAGAGAGAGAGAGAGACAGACAGACAGACAGAGAGAGACAGATACAGGGGGGGGGGGTCAGGGGGGTTAATATTCAACAAAATAATTGAGCGGACGCCAAAACCCTTTGACATGAGCGGCCAAAAAATCCCCCGTGGCCTGCTCGATCCTCTGTCAATCATTCATCCGGACATGTTAGCATATTGCCAGCTTCGGCCAGTCCTCCATCCGAAATGGATTTATTAATGTTAGCTGATCAGCTGAACTCGGGAGGTTCAATGTCTATTTTTTGACAGGTTGTGCGCGGGTGTTCAAGCGAACTCGTCGTAACCTTGCGTCAGTTGTTCAACTGAAATGTTCAGCTTTATCACTCCTTAAACCGAGTTACACAGCTTCTGTTAATCGTTCGACCGAACGTATTAACTTTATCATTCAACTAAGTCTCTCTCCTCTAGTCATTCCTTCAAATGAACTTGATAACTTTCAGTCGTTCAGCCGGACATGTCAACTACCAAACTTTTCTGTCGGCTCCTGTCATTCATTCCCATTAATTGGCGGCTCCTGTCAATCATTCACCTCACGCACCTCACCTCTCCTGCTGGAGCCTCCAGCAGGAGACGAGGTACCTGGAGCCTCCAGACATTCAAGACTCTCGGACATTTGCTGCAACAAATGCTTGTACAGATGGTGGAACAGGTGGTGGTACAAGTGGTGGAACAGGTGGTGGTACAGGTGGTGGTACAGGTGGTGGTACAGGTGGTGAAACAGATGGTGGTACAGGTGGTGGAACAGGTGGTGGAACAGGTGGTGGTACAGGTGGGGGGGGGGGCACGTGGGTGGAACAGGTGGTGGAACAGGTGGTGCGGGAAGGTCACATACAGGAGTTGTCGGTCATGTTATTTCGAAGGTACACGTGCCGTGGGCCTCGGGGACAGTGCTTCCTGGGAGGGAGCGAACAGAGGGATAGAGGGAGAGAAAAAGGGAAGGAAGGAAGGAAGGAAGGAAGGAAGGAAGGAAGGAAGGAAGGAAGGAAGGAAGGAAGGAAGGAAGGAAGGAAGGAAGGAAGGAAGGAAGGAAGGAAGGAAGGAAGGAAGGAAGGAAGGAAGGAAGGAAGGAAGGAAGGAAGGAAGAGGACACTAACACTACCACATGCAAGATCTACGCAAAACAGAAATACAAAAACAAAAGTAGAATGATCTAATAAGCCAAATCCAAATAGAAAACAGAAACCCAACCAACTTCAGAACAAAGTAAAATCAGGGGAAAGCGCCAAACCATTACGACTATATAACACCTGGAAGGGGTCAGGATAAGGATTTGGGATGGGACAGGGGGGAAAGGAATGGTGCCCAACCACTTGGACGGTCGGGAATTGAACGCCGACCTGCATGAAGCGAGACCGTCGCTCCACCGTCCACCCCAAGTAGTTGGTTCACAAAGACAGAGAACAAGAACATTAATCTAAGAAGCTTTGTGAAAAAGAACATTAATTTAAGAAGCATTGTGAAAATGAACATTAATTTAAGAAGCATTGTGAAAAAAATATTCTGAGTAAGCCCAGAGGAAAATGTAAAATTTTGTCTTAACAGAAAAATAACAAATCTAGTCGATAACAGAGCTGCAACATGATTTCTAACGTGAACAATATTCGCGATGAGTGCCCACCTTATAAAACACATAACCATCACAGAGGTCCAAAAAAGCAATCAAGAGGTTTGAAGAACAATGCACCTGGTATTATAAAAAATAAACAAACTGGTATTGACTAACCTCCCTGTGGCTCCAAGCCTCCAATATGTATGCATATTAAACGCAGCTTGTGCATCCGGACTGTTCCCCACGTGCTTCAAAAATGCCACTATCAAATTAATTCCTAAGCTGGGCAAACCCTTAACTCAAACATAAACTTACAGACCAATTTTCCTCCTCCAGGTGCCAGGCGAAATATTCGACCAATAAATAACCACAGATATGTGAAGAGTCTGGAGGAGGAGGAACACAAGCGTGACAAGAGACAACATGGGTTTAGAAACCACAGAGAAAGTTCAGAAACCGTTCAGCTATTGTCCCTGATATATGAGCACTTGATCAGTGCCGTGACAGAGAAGGAGAAATGTAATATAGTGAGCATAAATGCTTGAGAAGCATTTGACAAAGTCTGGCACTCGTCCCTAAAATACAAGGTATCAGATTAGGGTTTCCACAAAGATTCACTGCCATATGATTTATAGGACAGGAAATGAAATTCACGTAAAGGATAGCATAAATAAAGCAAAAACACCCTTAAGACAACCTAAGGAGATTTCGTAGCCTGAAAATGAGCACTTATACAAGGCTCTAGTCCGGCCGCGTCCCGAATACCCACCAGTGCTATTATATATCTTAAAGAAAACTTAACATTCAAAAACTAGCAGCAAAACAAGGCTTTAAGGAAAGCTACAAAATACCGTCCCCCCCCATATAATCAGACAGCCCAGGAGCTCCTTGAATTTCTGAACATACCACCACTAAACACCAGACTACAACAGTAAGCTACCAGGAGGTGGAACACGATCGAAATGTTTGAAAACTCAATACTAGAAAATAAGACGCCCCACCTCCACCGCTGGGGGCCCAAAAGCTTAAATCTACTCGAGGGAAACTAAGCCCCATAATATATAATTCCAAATTGAAATGCAAACCAGAACCTGCTCTCCTCGTCCCCAAAAAAAGACCCTTAAACAAAACACCAAAACATATACCTGAGCATCTGAGTGTGTATATGTGAATTCTATAGAGTGTTCACCTATAGACGTTGAATTTATGTTGAAATGAACTTGAAGAACTGTCAACCCTCACAAGTACAACTGGGCAAACACACATACACAAGATCAAGAAACTTTCTGAGTCAACATGTCAAGGGACCCTACAAGAATGAGAGGCAATGACGAACCAGCTAGACTCGACCTGATATTCACCTTGAATGAGTCAGACATACGAGAAGTCAAATCTGAAGCCACCATAGGAATGAGTGACCATTAGTGTATTGACATTTGAGTATCTGGTAGAGGTAGGGATAACTTGTCCAAGGATGGGATCGGAAAGGAAAAGGCTAAATTACCGAAGAAGAAAATATGAGGAGATGAGGAAATTCCTAATTGGAATACCATGGGAAACAGAACTCGGACCAAAGAAGTGCCAGAAAGCTGCAGACAGGTTTATCCCGACCCTAAAGGAGAAATATGAAAAGCAACAAAAGAATCCATGGTTCAATCAGGAATGTAAGATAGCAAAGCAATTGAGAATAAGAATACGGAGAAACTACAGGAGTAACAGAACACCAGAGACGGGGAAGGATACCATAGGGCCAGGAATGAGTACCTCAGAGACAGGAGGGAAGCAGAGAGACAGTATGAAAATGACATCGCGAGTAAAGCCAAGACCCAACCAAAACTTCTCCATAGCCACATCAGGAAGAAAACAGCAGTGAAGGAGCTAGTGATGGAACGGAGAAAAGGGGAGAGCACATACACAGAGAATGACAAGTTGGTGTGTGAAGAACTCAAAAAAGAGTTTCCAGGAGGTCTTCACAATAGAACAAAAAGAAGCCCCTGCACTAAATGAGGAAGAGACAAACCAAGCAACTTTGGAGGAATTTGAGATCACCAGTGATGAGGTCAAAAGGAATCTGTTAGAGCCGAATGTGACAAAGGCTGTTGTGCTTGACAGAATCTCACCGTGGATATTTAAAGAGGGTGCAGAAGCACTAAGTGTGCCACTCTCTATGG